GTGCGGCCTAGCGTTATCACTGGCCGCACTTCACAGTCGGCGGGAGCTGGAATAAGAACCTCCATCTTCAACAGCTGCAACGATGCTACTGTGAGAACGCGGGAAGTGCCGTTAGTGCATGCGCCATGCTACGTCATTGCTCTATCACGTACGCACAGTTGCTTCGCGCAATATAAGATTTGCTAGCTGTGGGACGAGTGGGAAACTTACTTTGTGGACGCGCCTCGTACATTACAGAAAACTGAGAATATGAATCGTTCCTTGGCTAGGTTATTTTATATGCATTCTCACAATTTGATGGCATAGATTGAATTCTCTCATGTTATAACTTTGTTTCAGTGTGGTTTTGAACAATGATCTCAACAATATTGTCCAACAGTTCTCAGAACATTATCATGATGCATGGGGCAGTAAGAAATTGGATAATGGTTGGGTATATGGAGAGCAGTGGTCTGATGCGAATAAAGCTCACCCTCGCTTGAAACCATACAGCATGCTGAATGACTATGTAAGTAAAACTGTAATGGACGCTTCGCTATGACATGCAAGATTATATTTCAGCTTCTAACAACAAAGAACTCCTACACTGGGAGCTTAGCCCACTCAGTCAGTTCCGTTACCTTCCATTCTGTCAACTTATCAGTTCTCCTAAAGGCCGTTTTCCAAGAGGTGTCCGTACAAAAGTTCTGCATCCATTCTTTGCCTCACCAGCTGCCCAGAATTCACTTTTATACTGCAAGGTGACAAATATAAATCATTGTATTAATTCTAAACTACTTGTACAGTTGATGTCATGGAAACTTCTGAACACACATGAATCTGTGTATTACGTGGAAAATATTTTCTAAAATAAAGCTGTCGTCTTATATTCAGGAGAAAGAGCGTTATAAGGAGCCAGTGAGAGAGTCCTTGAAAGCCCTGCTTGCTATTGGTTGGACTGTGGAACACTCAGATGTTGAAGTACCATCAAACAACAGAAATTCCACAAGAAGAGCTTCCAAAACAAGCCCAGTAAGTATCACCTTTAAGTATTAATTCATTTATTTCACCTCTTCCAGTGCCCACAGAATTCAGCTCTTGTTTTAACCTTTCATGCTAATATTTATATATCCACTAAGCTGACACTGTGACAGTATTTAAATGGCCTGTCAGTAACAAATTTGTGACATACGAAGTGTCAAGTTTTTCCCTCTTCCAATCACCCAGCAGTTGTTTCACTAGAAAATTGCTCACTAACTTGTCTTTTGCGTCCCTCACAATATCTGCTTCGCTGTCTGATGGTTTTTCAACCACAACACTCTTCTCATCTTCAGCGCTGTCGAATTCGCTCCCACTACCACAAATTCCAATGTTTCTGTTAACGGGTTCCTATAACACTTCCGTCATTTCCACCGATGGACGAAATGGGAAGTGCAATGTTTTGAGGACTCATGATCTAAATAGTATGACAGAAGTCAATAGAGAGATGATTTGTCATGGGCAATACAAGGTCCATTCAGAGCTTTAATAATAATAGTAATAATAATATGTAATAATCTTCCACTGAACATACAACTATGTTTCTTTAAGGTTGATAAAGCTACACCATTTAACTACCACCCACACCCAGTGGATATGACTAATCTGACACTAAGCAGAGAAATGCAGAACATGGCTGAGAGGCTGGCGGAAAATGCTCATGACATCTGGGCAAAGAAGGAAAAAGAGGAGCTGACAACTTGTGGTAAGAACTGACAAGCCATTGTGAGGTTGGATAGCCTGATTTATGAAACCGTATTACCCAGTGCATCCTCTTCTGTTTGTAGATTGTTGAACGTCACAAGAAATTCACTTTTTGGTCAATCTCTGTTTAACATTTTAAAGACTTGCCTGATATACTAGGTTTAAATGTCCCACATTAAGTTACCTACGTGGAATTAAATGTCTCATTTTGTGTCTCTTTGTTTCCTTTAGTTATTAAAACGTGATTATTTCAACTAATTATGAGATTTGTTTAGAAATGATTGCAACTCTCCTGGAATACGGGATGAGGCCTGTTAACAGTTGAACAGTAACATTTGAGCGTTCTCCCAACTGAGGTCAGTGTTGGTCATTCCACGTCAAGTCAAGAAATGGATGTACACGGACTTCAATGACACTTGCCAGTCTTAATGCGTGATACCTTATGAAGTAGCACACGAGCGTTGAGCTTCTCTAATATTACCATTTCACATGCATTAACAATTTTCAGGAATAGTGCAAAAAAGAAAATTGTCACGCGTGCTGTTTTCACCGAGTTAACATGGTAATGACTTTGGAATTTTTGGTTTCTTTCAAATTATTTTACCCTAAAATTTTAGATCTATGAGAACACTTTTAGGGAACATTCATTTGATTGGTGTTCATTGCCAGTGAGAGTATGTATTGTAATTGTACCTTATCTCAAAATTACATCATTTTCATGACATAGCCAAAAATAAATATTAACAGATGGAAGTATGAATCTCTATACACATTATCACATTGATACGTACACAGGTCCAGAACCCTTTATGACAAAATTCTTTTCAAAAGTACTATCCAAATTATAATTTTGAGGATGCAACTTGCACGTAAAGCCACTAGCATTATTGTTAGTAAGTGTAAATTAGCTTGAAACTTTTGTTCTAACAAGTCTTGAAATAAAAGACTTTAAATAAAATTTTAGGCATTATGCAAGAGATTCGAGATCTTTGTTCAACCTGTTCTGCAAATATATTTATCACCATAAAATAAAACTAAATTCAAGATATTCAGGTGCTACATGGACAGAAAAATATAGCATTTTTATTATATCTAGTCTCAGCTTTTAAATCCTAATGAAATGAATAAATGAACTAAATAAATAATTTTGCTGGCGTATAGGAGGGGCCGTCAGTCCACAGTTGGTGCCGTATGATTTACTGACTGACAAGGAGAAGAAAAAGGACAGAGAGCGTTCACAGGAATTTCTGAAGTACCTGCAGTACCAAGGCTATAAGTTACATAGGTAAGTAATTCACGGAACTTAATCTGGCAATTTACCACCTTTCTCTACCTTACTTTCAGGCTTGCATAGTATTAGGTATTTATTACTTAAAATTATTGTGTGAGACTGAAATTAACCTGTCCCAAGTATTTTTTGTGTATATAAGAGGAATATTTTTTGTTGAAAATTAAGATTTTTATAAAACATGCATGAAACTATTAAAAATAGCAGAATTAGAAGGTGACTTATGGACCTGGAGTTTATCTTCTTGATGCTCCATTACCAGCAAATTACTTTCATAACATTATGCAGAAACTTTCATGTAATTATCCACTTGTGAAGATGACACACATCTCACTGCACTCTTAACGAACTATAGAGCAAAGGCCTTCTTGAGAAGCTAACAGTTTTCTGAACTAATAAAGAAATTCCCTGTCTGTTTTCATGAAAGTGTTTTCCTTTTTCTTTAAACTTTCTGTTTTTAGTCACCAATCATTTATAAGGGTCCAAGAAAATAAGAATGTTACACATTCATTGATACTTAGATTTTATGTCACTAAGGTTTATAAATGGCCAACACCACTCAGTTTCCTTTGGGTGGAAAGTGGCACGACGTGTTGGAAGAAATGTCATTCCACAGTAATTCTTTTTAGCAATGTACCACCACATACATCCTAAAAACACATGCAAATTGGCATGAAAAATGATTACCACATTATTGATAAATTTGTTTCAATAAATGAGTATGGTGTGTCTTAAAAAGTAATAAAGCTACGTTAGCATGACGATTGCCTTATACTTCCTCTATCTCTGAACATTGGTAACCTAACCTAGACTGCACTGTAATGTAATCCAGAAGATCACATTCCATATTCTTATGACATCCAAAATCTCAGATATCAAATTGGAAATACTTTTTCTTCCATCTCACATTGAAAGTAGAGTTACTGTAAAATATCATATTGCTAGTTGTGTTCTGTGTCAGTTTATTTTTCTATTTGTGATGGGAGCACATTTTTAATTTCTTTTTCTTCAAATGTTGTCCGAAAGAAAACAGTGTTTTGTGAAGACTTTTCTTAATTATTTAAACTGTACTTCGAGTTATTTCGTTTCTTGAAATGAATATGATATTACACAAAGAGTCATTGTTCTTTTTTCAAATAAATTCTTAAATTCTGTTTATATTGTATAAAAACTTTATATGACGTTAATATCACAAATGATTCTTCTGTTAAGGCCAATCCGTGGTGGTGGAACTGAATCAGAGCAGGCTGCTGCAGGAGCTTCTGTAGAATTGAGGTTTGCTTACAGCCTGCTTGAGAAACTTATTCAGTACCTGGACACGGCTTCCATCAATATGAAGCTTCTCAAACCATCAAGTACTTTCAGTAGAAGGAACAGCTTCAAAACTTCCACTAGAGACATTAAATTTTTCTCAAAGGTACTTAATAATTGTATAAAAGATACTTGTACCTACAAATTTTATTTGTACTTTATTAATATTTTCAATAGCTAAGATTATATAGTATCTAACGAGAGGATTTGACTACACAGAAAACAAATTATACAACAACACAAGCAAAACAATTCTCTTTCACAGTGGCAGACATTGGTTTCTAACAGCCTTAAATTTCCCAACCCCCTTCCATTCATCGCAGTTCCAGGGGTTGTTTTAGTGGCGCACAAAGTTTTAGCAAGAAAACCAGCCAGCTAGACTGCATCTGCTGATGGTAAATGACTGGCATAGTGGATTTTAATATGAAGAATACTTTTAGAAAATGCAATTGTATGTCTCAGCCTGACATCTATAACAATGTTTTGCTCTTTGCATTAAAATTAATCATGGATATCACATTCGGTATGTGCCCTAACTAATCCATGTAAGTCATGAAGTTCTATACTGCCTTGTTTCTATAATGGTACGTTAAACAGTGTCTTCTCAGTTATTTGTTTTGTAGCGTAAATGGTATGGTTATTATGACATAGATTATGAATTACTTACGACGTAGGAGGAGGTAGTCATCTGTCCTTAATATTTTGAAATTTTCTTGGGGTGAGTGAAGAATACTATTTAAAACCTCAGTTACTATAGTTCATTTCGGGGCAGAAATTGAAATGCAGGATTTCTTAACCATGAAGCACTGTGCTGCAGTGTTCAGTCAATGTCGTACTTTGTGTCGCCTGTTCATTTAATGCATGCAGTGAGGTTACTAAACAAAGAGGTAGTAACAACATGGAGTAAGGATTTGACGGAGAATATTAGAATCTATTCCAGGCTGTAAAGTTGATTAAAATTATCATTTTATGTGTGTATCGTTATATACTCGTGCATGTGACTTTTATATATCCATTTAATTAAATATCTGAGATAAATGTGTGTCAGCAAACTGATATCTGATATGATTAATTCAATTTCAGTGAAAAAATAAAATTTATGTAAGTAACTAAATGTCAGAAGTTATAGATATGGGGCTTCTATTTTTCTTCTTTTCATTAACTTGGTAACTGTACGTCATTTGTATGTGCAAATTTAAATATAAATTGTTCCTCTTTTTTTACAGGTAGTGCTCCCATTGATGGAAAAATATTTTAGCACTCACAGAAATTACTTCATTGCTGTGGCAACTGCAACCAACAATGTAGGGGCCGCATCTTTGAAGGAGAAAGAAATGGTGGCCAGGTAAATAAGGTGTTTCAAGAAAATTAGTTGAGGTTCAGGTACATTGTGTTGATATGCAAGAGTTTGACTGATAAGGATTTAAGGTTTTACGAACTTTCAGTACCTTCATTTATTAACTTTACGTGTGGTCAACTCTACTGGTATTTAAAATAATTTACTTACACATTACTTACCTGTTGCTTTATATCAGTATGAATCTTAGTCTGTGAAGGAAGAACATACCAAAAATGAAGTTCTGAGGGGATTATGTGCACCTGAGAGAGATGAGGTAACAAGGAATTATTAAGTATCACAGCCAAAGAGGATTCCTGCTTCATATTTGGGAGATCCTACATTCAAATCTGAGCCTAGAGACCAGCTATCCTTATTACAGGTTCATGGGGTTTCTTTTAATCTTTCCTGGCAAATTATGTGGTGTTATGTGTATCTAAGCTGTGCGTTATTCCTTCCACATCTTCTTCATTGTAATAATCATCATTTCATTCAGTGTTATACAGTCCAGCTACTTACATTTCACTGCCTCCAAATGTAGCAAGTTCTTCACTTATTTGATTAAAACTTTAAGACCCACCTGAAAATCCATCAGTCACTGTGATAAATAGACAAGTCTGTCTTCAGATACATTTGGATGGAGTGAAATGTTTAGTTTTTAGGTCTGTTTGCAATCATGTGGAGCACTACTAAAATTTCCCTGTCTGTCTGTCTGTCTCTCTCTCTGTACACATGAAATAGCTCGATAATGGACAAACGAAGTTTTATTGAGTTTGACGTTTCAGAATTTTGTAATAAATTGTTGTGCCATATCAGTTTCCATTTAAGTCAGACTATTTTAATGACCACATTTTACAAGACCATAAAATATTTTGTATTGTAATCTTATCAGAATAGATCAATAAATTGAAACACTTTCTTCGATTTTGTTAGCATCAAACCATAATAATAAATAAAATGTGAAGAAACGAAGTCTCAGATGAGCTGAGACTGCACTCAAATCAGATTTGTTTTATTCTTTTAGTTTTGGTCCCTGTTAAGAAATGACTTTAAAACAGAAATTTAATTTTGTTTTAGTGTGTATAATAACAATAATTAGTGAAAATCTTAATATAGATTGTAATTTTGTATATAGTTCTGACTTCAGGAATTTGAATGGTTATAATCTAACAGTGAATAGTTTCATGTGAATTTAAGTCTGGAAAGATTTCATCATAGTAATAATTATTAAGTTTAGTTAACAGCTTTATTTTCGTGCCTCATATCAATGCAAATGAGTTATCAGATAGTTTAAAATTGTGTGTGTCCATATATACATACATATGTGATTCTACAAAACTGTTTTCCATTCTGATTTTGTAGTTTGTTTTGCAAACTCGCCAACCTACTGCGTTCTCGTCTGGCAGCATTTGGAGCCGATGTGCGTATTACTGTCAGATGTTTACAAGTATTAGTAAAGGGAATTGATGCCAAGTAAGTGTTTGATTTCATATGTCATTTCTTTTCTTACATTTAACACATATAACCTTACAAATGTAAAGGTTAATGAATGTTTTCATTCATTCCAGCATACCAGAAACAATCATTAGATTCATGCATTATTCATATTTCTGTTTTTATATGACTTTGATTTTTGACCAGACCTCTTCAGAGGGCTTTGCCAACAAGGCTTACTTGCTTCCTGTAGCATGATCCCCCCCCCCCCCAACTTGCTGTCCGTACTGTTCTTTACTCCACTAACTTTCTTATCATGCTTACTTCCAACTACTTGGCCTCCTGGGATTGGCTACCTCCAGGCTTTTCCCTCATCCCCAAGGCTTTGCTTCCACTTCCAAAGACTTTGCTTCTCAGGCCTCCTTTTGTGTGCCTTGCCACCATGACCCCCCCCCCTCCCCAGGCCCTGTCCTCTGTCCTAGGCTTTATCTTACTTTTTTCTAATTACAGCCACTTAATTTAAAGTGGCATAGCTTCATAAGACTGCCCACATCTGGACACCACCCTCCTCCCCTCCAAACATTCAAAATCCGTGGCTTTGCTCTCCCTTGGCTTTGAAACCCGAGTGCTTCCATCATCCTGGGCTGTTAGACCACCCTGGGCATGCCACTCTCAGAACTGCACCACAATGGCTTGACCACTCGCAGTGCTAGGCCACCTCCAAGCCTTGAACTTCTTGAGGACACACCTGAGCTTTCCCACTAGGTTTGACACCCCTGGGGTTTTAGCATAAAATCTTTCCCCAGGGCTTGTATAGCAGACTTTATCCAATGATCTTGGCCCATACAGGGTTGCCACCAGTATTCAGTTTGTTGTTATCTATCACATCTTTCAGCTTAGAATGTGCTACCATCTATCTGTGTTCTTACAAACTACATGTTCTTCTGTACGATAACTCAAGAATGGCTAATAGTATTTTCATGTAATTTATCATCATCATTATCTTCGGGGGTTGGGCCTTTGGGTCCATTCTGATCCCAGGATTAGTCGAACTGGTCCCTCCGTCTCTTCAGTGGTCAACATTTTTATGGGTGTTCTCCTTATCTCCCTCACAGTTTTTGTGATCATTTACTGTTATTGAACAATTTTTTACCCAGATCGCTGGTGAAGAACTGTCCCGAATTTATTCGAACCTCAATGTTGACATTCTTCAACAACACGGCAGAAGATTTGGGACATACTATACAGAATCTGCATGATGTAAGTTTAATTGAAGAAAATGCAAACCTCTTTTAATTTTTTCATAGAAATTATTGATTGTCTTTGACTGATATGTAATATTTGGTATGTCTAGGGCCGTTACAGCCATTTGCGGGGCGCCCACTTGAAAACGTCTACATCCCTTTTCTATATAAATGGCGTCATTTTGCCAGTTCTGACTTCTATGTTTGACCATCTAGCAGCCTGTGAATATGGAAGTGACCTATTACGTAAGTATTTAGAACACGTATGAAATTGAGAATCATGTGAGGAGGGAATTCTAAATTCTTTGTACAGTAGATTTGATCACTTACTAGAAGCATAAAAATGTACCAGAGAAGACAGCGAGTTGTGTCCAAGTGGATGAAAGAAAGATAATCTCCTCTTAAGAACGAAGAACTTTGTTACGTGGGAGTAGAACTAAAATAGTTACCGCAGTTCCATCTACAGGTGAACGTCGTGAGCATATCCACATATTTCAAGAGTAGTTCTCATTAGTATAGTTCTCTTTTGTTACAGTGGATGAGATACAGGTTGCTTCTTATAAGATGCTCGGCAGTTTGTTTACCCTGGGTACTGATGGATCTTTGACAGGAGACAGGTAATTTGTTTTTGTTTATAAAAGCAAATCATATGAAGATGTCATTTGAAATTGGCATTCGTATGATGATGTGAAATTACTTCCAGGAAATATTTGAAGACCGAATTTGAGAGGCATCGTCCTGCTCTCGGAAGCTGCCTAGGAGCTTTTTCTTCAACATTCCCAGTGGCTTTTTTGGAGCCTCATCTCAACAAACACAACCAGTTCTCCCTTCTCAACCGCATTGCAGACCATTCCCTGGAGGCACAAGGTTAGTGGTTTTAAATTGTTAAAAACAACCCCTTTTCGGTGTTAGGTGTATCAGAATATTTCCAGACATTAATATTTCTATGCTTGTAACCTTTTACATTGTTGGAAGGATTTATTAAAGTCCTGTGTTTTGAACTCCACAAGTGTAATATGCAAATTCCTTTGATTGTAATGACATCATCAACTATCTTCCATTTGGGTAATAAGTCAGTTTTGGGGCAAGAAATACATCAGACAAAGCTGGATCAAAGGAGTACGAAGGCTCTGGAACTACACTCGTGCAGTTCCTGGCCAGAAATTCTTGCGGAGTGAGCTGGAGCACTGTGGTTTTGAGAAACCAGTCTCCATTTTGCCATTTTCAGGATAGTTTTACTACAAATCTTTCCACTGACACTGAGACTGCATGTAGGAATTTTGATTTACAGTTTGTCTTATGGGAGATGTTCATGATCAGTGTTGAGAAACAAAATATCAAAGGCCCTTCACACTGGAAGAAAGATGTATCTTTGCTTTCTCTGGTGTAGTGATACGGGCTGGACTATTACACTGTTTCGCTGCTTAGTTTAAGGGCTGTACCATAAACTCATGTTTCATGGATCTCTGTGAAAGTTGGAATTGCTGTATGTCGTTCAGTTTCCATATAAAACTGTAAATGTTGTACTAACAGTCACATCAAGTGACTGAGGAAAAATGTGAGGTATAATGTGAAAAACTGTTGAGCACTGTCTGGACTTCTAGTGTGTGACTGTTATACTATATTTCACAGACCAGACTCTTACATGTCATACATTTCATTGCTTCAGATGTGATGGCAAAAATGGAGGCCAGCATGCCAACTCTAGAAGCTATTCTCACAGAGGTGGACCAGTTTACTGAATCAGAGAAGACTTATGCAGATGCTCCTCATATCATTGATGTCATTCTACCTTTACTGTGTTCATATCTTCCCTTCTGGTGGTCACAAGGACCAGACAATGTCAGTCCAACAGGAGGGTGAGTACTGCTATTTGAGGGTAACTTTTGTAATGCAACTGTTTGCAAAGACTATTTAAGCATCGCCTTCCACATTTTATTGCATGGTTTTAGCATAAACAAAGCACATCCTGTGGACCAATTAACGTCTGGTGGTCTTGTGTAATATATGTTTATGAGCTGGGAATGTCTGCATAGTTTTCACGAAATTTGAAGTGGATGTTATGTCATTAGAGGCTAGTACAAACTCATACATATTCATTTTCTACAGAAAATTGTTCTAGATATTGGCATTGCCTTCGATCAGGTAATTTCCCATGATGCTCTTCTGTACAGATGTTATTACTAGAGAATAGCTGGACAGATGTGTATGAAATCTGATGTTGGAGTTAAGCCATTAGAGGCAGATCTGAACTTGTACATTTTGTTTCCAGAAGTTGGTACTGTCATCATTAAAGATTAAAGATGAGGAGGTACTTTATGATCTAAATATGGGTAAGATTTAGTGATTAATTTTTTTGTCCAGAACTCATGTGTCCATGGTGACAAGTGAACATATGAACCAGTTACTGAAGAATGTTCTCAATCTTATCAAGAAGAACATTGGTAATGAAAATGCTCCTTGGATGACAAGAATTGCAGGTAAACATGTAAGCTATTGAATCATTTGTTAACAGTAGTGCCATATTTTCTTCATTCATTTGCTTTGATTTTTTATATATATATGCAGTTACCTATTTAGAAATGGATATTTTTAAGTTATTTAGCTTTGCATTATCCCAAGTTACATGTAACTTTTCTTATCTTATTTAGCATACACACAGCAAATTATCATCAATTCATCTGAAGAGCTGTTGAAAGAACCATTCCTACCATTGGCTGAACGTGTTAAGAAACGAACAGACAATATGTTCCACAAAGAGGAGTCTCTGAGAGGATTCATCAAGTCATCCTCTGATGACACTTCTCAGGTAAGGAGCTGGTGAGCCCTATATTCTTGCCTATCTTAAGAGCTAAATGAACATAATTTTTCCTAGTCCTTGAGGCTGTCATCTATTCACCATTTTATAGGGTATTTACTTCTGTGTACCTGAGGTACATAGTGCAGCAGCTATTTATGAAATACATTTTGTTTCTAATACATGCTACGTGTATTATATACTTTTATTGTGAGGCGTGACTATATATTTTACATCAGTTATTATTATTAAGTCATTAAAATGCATTTTTATAATTTGTTTTAATATTAACTTTAGATTGAGTCACAAATTCAAGAAGATTGGCACCTGCTAGTGAGAGACATCTATGCTTTCTATCCACTTCTTATTAAGTATGTTGATCAGCAACGCAACCACTGGCTGAAGAACAATGTGGTGGAAGCTGAAGACCTATACAACCATGTTGCATACATCTTTAACATTTGGTCTAAGTCACAGGTACTGAATTTTAGTAGTTAACTCTTTTGAGTCTTATGTTTCACTGTACCAGTATATCCAGGGTGCAGCTGGCTGTGTGTCCTTGTAGTGTCATGCTGTAGGGTGGCTCACAAAGAAATTTACCCATTTCATGTTGCACAAAATCTAAATTTGTAAAAAGATGTTACATATCACATATACCCTGAAGCACAAGAACATTGAGTGTTACTTTAAGTGCACGTGTTCGTTATGATTCCCATTCTACTCCATGACCTCCTAAAGATGATTATGTGTATTTGTGATCACCTCATGGCATAAATCTTCTGAAACAGATATCCCTGATAATTCTCTGTTCTGATTTATCAATAATATTGACCCTAGAAGGATCATTGTTAGCAATAACGTATCAGTATCCAGTCACAAGCTGGAAAGTCATATAATGTAAAAACATATTTGTTTTGTTTTAGTACTTCATGCGTGAGGAACAGAATTTTATATCTGCCAATGAGATAGATAACATGGTGCTGATCATGCCTACGGCAACTCGTAGATCAGCCGTTGTGTCTGAAGGTGGACCAGTTGCTGGAGGTAGCAAGGTGAGTCTGTCTTATAACGAAATATTAAGCTCTTGACATTTTGATTTTGTTTCTTTGATAGGTAGTGTAATGGCGTACTCCATGCTAAGAATGTATTATCTTCTATTCCAATCTGTTCTCATACAGGGGTCAGGTATTTAAAACCTTAATAAGAATACATATGGGAGAAGATTTTCTTTTCAGTTATATTTATTTATCCAACAGTTTTTGGTTTGTTAATTGTTGTTATGTTATATAAAGAAACATAAAGACATGCAAGATGTTTCAAAATGTGAGTGGTCATTTTATTATAACATTTAATTGCCTAATTATTTTATTATATTTATAATGATTGAAATGTTAATGAACTTTACAGAAAATCTGAAGTTATAAGCAGCACAATAATGCTGTTTCACACTGTAGATGTGTGTGTAGATGTTGCTGTGCTGTTATTACTTCAACACAAAATTCTAATCATGAAGGGTGTTATGTACTGTCTGAACAAAGAATGTGTTTGGCTTGTAAGTCAGATATATGAGAGTAATGCAACTCATAAACAATAAATTTCTTCATTTGGATGAACAGAAAAAGAAGAAACATCGAGATAAGAAGCGTGACAAAGATAAGGAGCTGCAGGCTAGTCTGATGGTTGCCTGCCTCAAAAGACTGTTACCAGTTGGTCTCAACCTGTTTGCTGGCAGAGAACAGGAATTGGTTCAGCACTGCAAGGATCGTTTCCTCAGGGTAATTACAATAATATTTTTTAGTAGGTTATCATATTACAGAAATAGAATTTTTGGAAGTAAATCAGATTTACCTGTCGGAGGACATCATACAGTTGTGGGCTTTTGTGAATACAGTAATGAATCTTTGGGTTGATCATACTATATGCAAGTGATTATGCAAAGCCAGTTAAAATCTAGAGGAAAAGTTTGTCTTGTTTCAGGGATTCTTTTCTCAATTTCTGGTCACATGGTTTGTGTAGCATTAACTGCTTATCAGCTCATTGCAGAGCTGTAAATTGGGGGTGGGGGAGATGATTGTAATTAGAATGATGATTGACAGCAGTGCAATTAATGTGAATATGCTTTTACTTAAGCCTGTGACAGCATGCCAGAAACTTTAGTGGCTATGCATTAATGTAATTCTTTTCCCCTCAGTTTTTGTTTTCATTGTAATTTGTATTTCTCAAATTCTTGACATATACAGGGGACATTTTAATGCTTGTGATAAAATAAACTACTTACTACTGTATTTCAGAAACTGCCAGAGACTGACATAATGGAATTTGCCAAGATACAGCTCACTCTCCCTGATAAGATTGATCCAGCAGATGAAATGTCATGGCAACATTATCTTTACTCCAAGCTTGGACAGAAGAAGACTGATGAGGAAGGCAAACCCATGAAAATTGAAGATGTTGTTGAGAGGATTGTTGCGATGTCAAAAGTACTTTATGGGCTGCACATGGTGAGTCATGATTATGGTATAATAAATGGTATTATTATATGTACAATTTCTTATATGTTTATAATATTAGTAAATATGTTCACTTTATAGGGAATATTATCTAGATGTAACATATTTCTTGTGTTCAGGTAGGCACATTTTTAAAATATCACTAAAGTAATTTGATAAAATGCTGACCTCAATAAAATACACAGATCTAATGTTTAAAAAATGCCTAATCTATTATTAATTTAATCAGCAATATTCATTAATTAATCTTTTATCTTTAAGAGATATAACAATTTTAAGAAGTTATATTTATATCTTACAAATAAACTTCTACTTAATTTTTGTCCTCCATATTTTATTGACATCATGATGAATATAATTTATAATTTTATATAACTTTTTGGCCCATGATAACAATTTGTGCAGAAATACTCATTCACTTCTGATTTAGAAGCCTGATGTGGTAAAGCAGGAGTATGTTATGGTGTCTCAAAGTGATCAGGACATGTTTCATTGAATGTGAGCCAAATCAATCAGATGTTTGTGTGCAGGTATATTATCTTTTATACATATACAGATTTATATAATAGATATCTTATGAAGGCAACATAATTAATAGAAATTTGATAAAGTGTGATGCTTATCTGAATCACAGATCAAAATATGTGGCAGATACAAAGAGAGATCGTAATCAAGTTCTACTTCAGTCAAATTTGTATTATTATGAAAATTTGTTAAGTTTTGCTTGCACTTGAACTTTTTATATTTTCTCATTGCTCTGTTTTATTAACACATTGAAGGTAATTGTAGGATGTCTAACATTTTTTACAAATGAAATTAACTAGAGAAATGGTGTGTTGAAATAAATGGGGCATAGTAATAAGAACTACTAATATCATATGTAGTATATCCAGTTCCAGAGGAACTTACTGCAAGTGTTATACAATTAAGAATGAAATCTTCTAGTCAGAAGAGTAAAGTTCAGATATTAGATGCAGTAAGTGGTGATTTAATTGTGTTTATTTAACTGACAACATGATTTCTATTCCAATAACTTGTAAGCACTGCAGTATCTGAAGACTGTTTGTATGTAATTGCTTCTACACATTATATTAATAAAACAATTGTATGGCAGGATCTGAGGTTCTTATGGCAGTGAGTATCAAGATGGCCGTCATCTGGGTTGTAGCACTGTGTAGTCAAGTTGAAATTTACCAGTGTTTCAGAGATACATGTTGCCTCCATCATCGCCTTAATGGTTGAGGCAGCAAGTTCCTCTGAAACATCTGTAAACTTGTACCAGACAACACATTGCACTGCAACCAAGAAGACAGCCATCTTCAGTTGCGTGGAAAATAAATAATGCTGCTGAAAGTTTCGGTGAATAAGTCTTGGCAGACAGGTTAACATGTATCCAAATGTAGACTTTACAGAAATAAATAATAAAGAAGACTTAGTTCCCATCTAGAATTTCAACTAATAGAGTATATAATATATTATGTTGTCGCAACGTATGATCAAAATTTGTAGGAGCCATATACAAATATATGATCTTCATGGAGATTACTGCAATTAAGCATTCATAAATATCATTAGTATTGTCTCTGTAATGTGTACATACCCAGTGGAACTGCATAGTCCTGCAAATGTCTTCACCCTATATATATCGTATTAAGAATATCAGGAATCTGTAGTAAGTGACAATGTTTCCTTCTTGTTACATATTTGAAGAAAATTTTTCAAATTTTTACAAACTGATTTGCAAAGCTGGTTGCTACCTGTTAATGCTCAGAAATGTATAGTGATCTACCCACAAGCAATTGAAATGTCCATTGTGCCAGTTAAGATGACACTGAGGCGTGGTTGAGCTTGTCCACTAGATTCCATAGCATAATTTCACAGGCTTTGTAAGTCTTATCACAGGAACTTTAACATCAGGGATACTAGTTTTAAAATGGGTGGTTTCACACCTCCATACCTTCTTTCAACCTCTCACAATTTCAGTTAGTAATAATTGCTTACAGAATTTTGTATGTAGGAATGTATTTATAAGTTCAAAATCAAATATTCTTTTTGTATTTACAAAATATGTGTTTTATATAGTTCTGGGTGATACGCTTTTGAGTAAAATTTTTCAGTTCCCTAAATCTTTCATTTCTCTATAATTTTGCTTCTTATTTTATATTTCAATTTGTTATATTGTTCCCTTTCCTCCTATCATAGATGAACTTTGAGCTGACAACAGATGGATGAACTTACCCACAACTAAACATGTACTTATTTACAAACAAGGTCCCACTTTATTATTTCCTTGTGTAGATTGACCACCCCCAGCAACAAAGTAAGGGCAGCTATCGTTCAGTTGTTTCCACGCAGAGGAAGCGTGCTGTCATTGCCTGCTTTCGACAAACATCACTGCATTCTCTGCCAAGGTATAGCAATCAACCATGAGATGTTCTTGTGCCAGTGTAGATTTTGCCCTTGTATGTTATATGTTTTATATTTTTATCTGACTTAACAATATGTTTCAAGAAAGTGTTAATAGCAGGCAGTAGGAATGACACAAAACTAACTAACCTTATCATTTATTTCCATAATTTATTTCCATTTATAAGAATATTTACTTTTGTCCCCTTCTCCCCATCCATAGGCTATTTTTTTTAAAAATCTGAACAGTTAACATGTACTGACTAACATACGCATCTTTAAAAAATTATATGTTTAGAAGATACTATAATATACCACTAGAAATCAGTGAACATAACTGATAAAACTCATGAAAGAAACAGATATTTCAGTGAAGTAAACTATGATCTTAGTAAGAAATTAATCTCTTAAGGTAATCACAAAATGTGAATGTTTAAATATATGACAAAAACACTGGATCAGTTTAGGTGCAGTCAGAGCACTGTAAAATAAAATAGTTTGGCTGATAAATTGTTATCCCCTGTTTTCATACAGTGTGACTTACCTTATTTTGTGTAAAGGATGATTTTCTGCACTCCATTAGTTATTATTTTGACTGTTTTCATAACCACTTGAACTACTCCTCATTAGAAATAAAATAGTATACAGGGAGAATTTTTATCACTGGTTTATTAAATCATTTGCAGTACTTCACAATCTTAGGGCATAAATTCCTTTTTCACTGTAGTTCTCTAGGGACACAGTTATTTTTCTGCCTAAGTTAATCTTCTAACATGTTACATTGACCATCCAAGAGGTGCAAAATATTTTTTGGACCTCCTTCTAATTGTGTTTCATTGCCACCCATTTTCTCTTTAGTCAAACATTATTTTCATGTTTTCTTTTGTATCCAGCACCGAATTTTCTGTATGAATCATTCCCTTATTCGTTCATGCTTCTGTGAGATCTGGGTATTTTCATTGACATTTTTGCCACAACAAATGCTATATGAAAATATAAAAATTCTTAGTTGGAACACTTCATTTAAACTAAACAATTTATGTATGATTATCTATTATGTATTCTGTGAATGACCTAATGTCTATGGAAGTCTCAAGTAAGAGGTCGACACTGTATTAGCACAGGACAACAGAAAGTATCAGGCATCTTTCAGCATTAAGCAAGACACATTTATTTAATTTGCTTCACATTGCCTTATCAAGAACAAGAAAGAATAAGGACAGTTATAAAGTTTCTGTTATCATCAATCTTACAGTTTGTCACGATCCTGTGGGAAAAGAGGGAGAAACTTAAAATATTGCTTGAGATCTGAGGTTCTTACGATGGCGAAGATGGAAATGGTGGCAGTGTTTTTCTCCAGACTGCTGGTATCTGTGTATCTGTCTTCAAAGTAAACACAATGTTCCTACCTAGAAGTCCAACACATTTGATATAATCATTCTAGTTCAGAGATTAGTATTTCTAAAATTGTATATGCAGTGTGGAATATAAAAAGAAATTAAGATGGTTCGAATGAAGTTTTATAATTGTGGCCCTAAGTATTCTATAAGACCATTATCTCTGTATGAAAATTTATATCATTCTATGGGCATGAATAATCTAAAGATAAATACTACAGAAGTGTTGTTTGATGTAGTTCCTTTTTCTTGTCAGTAATCCATTAATCCATTTCATAATACTTGCATATGCATAAGCTTTCATTTGCACTTTCTGTACATTGCCTCTTGCTTTCCTGTGTTCATTTTGATTATGTTATTTCTTGTTTACTTTAAATCTAATATTTTTACTGACGTTTGCAGTAGTATTGTGCAGTAATTATTATATCTAGCATCCAAGTAATGAGATTGGTACCTAATCTGACCTCAGGCTTGGCTATATGTATGAACTTTAATGATTGCTGTTTTTGTTAGTCACAAAGGTTCTAGTGGAAGCCAGAAAGGAGTTTGTGATTCCACTTGTGTTCTGTATTAATAACCACTGTGAACACTTGTTAACTAATGCTAAACCACGCACACCCACACCCTCTATATTCAGTACATTTTATACATGTTTCTAAGTTCCTCTAACACAAGAGTTTTTCGATTTGCAACCTGTTGATAAGTCTGTGTAGCCCAGGTACACTTTTTAATAATCAATTAAAGCACAGTAGTTTACCAATTGTTTAGCATTCACTAATTGTGCATTTTTTTGTGAACAGTGCATATTTATGGGTTTTGTATGGCTTTTCAATAAATGTCCTAATTTCTATACCTACATGTCAGTGGGTTGATAAGAAATGGTTATTGTGGCCCCAGACCTCCAAATGACTGATAATCCTTGCTCTGATATATTCTTTGCCATTACACTTGATGTTATATTAAATTAAATGAACTTCATTATTCAGTTATAAGATAATATATCAACAGTAGAATACACCAGTTTGAACATACCTGTCATACGTAAGTCGGTAAGACATTGCAGGATGTGTAACAGAACATCTTAATAGCATATTAAAACATTACATTCAGTTTCAGATACACCCATACTCCTTATATAATTATGAATTAAATTCTTAGACATTATACAATTGGTATACAATATATATATATATATAATAGACGCAGGTTGTGTAACAGAACATCTTAATAGCATATTAAAACATTACATTCAGTTTCAGATACACCCATACTCCTTATATAATTATGAATTAAATTCTTAGACATTATACAATTGGTATACAATATATATATATATAGTATAGAATTTCAGCTGAAGTTTGAGGTTAGGGAAGACCGACAGTTTTTGTGAAATATACTCACCAAAAATAATATTTTTAAATAACCAATTTACTCTTCTGTGCACTGTGCAAAAGAAATGGAATATCGGTAATATTACAACATTTTTATAAACGAAAGCATTCATATTTTTTGTGGAGTATATTAATTAAAAGAGCCATAGTTCTTTATTATTTTTATACTCCTTTGACACACTTATAAAGGAGAATAAAAGTATAATAATGATATAAGAATATTAACAATTAAGTTTGTATTTTTCTTAGATGGCTTTTGTGCAGTGCATCTGGCCAATATATCACAGTTAGATACCTCTAAACCATCATCCTGCAAGCTAAAGTCTGGCCAAAAGTCCAACAGTCATGTAGATATTATGTTATATTATAGGTGTTATACCAGAGGAATATATTAATATGTACATTTTATTATCAAACTTATAACAAAAATGTCAAAAAAATATTTTTTATTTTGTTTGCAGACAGACACATACATACTGACACTTGATAGACATAAGATATCAGTTCAAGTAGATTTCAATTAGTGAAATACATGTTTAGGATGGTGGAATTTTAGAATATTGTATGCCTGTTGCAATGAGATTTAAACTCACTACATCTAGTGTAAATCTCAAGATATGGGCTAAAAAGTTATTCTCAGGTATATATGATATGAAATATAATTTTCACACAAATGTTCATAGATTCTGTTCTTTTTTTCCCTCTTATATATATATATATATGTGTGTGTGTGTGTATGTGTGAAGGGAAAATGTTACTTTTACATGATGTGTTTTCATTGCAGCTCATGAATATATATGAATATATTACTCTAGTTTATTGGAATGTTTACAGCTTAATTTGTGACAGTATTTACTAACATGAATATAGGTTTGATTATGATAAGATAATAAATATTTATACTTTGTTGTACTACTTTGAAAACGTTGTACATTTGGTATGCTTTCTGTAATTCATGGGTTTAACAACATTTTATGCTAAGATTTGAAACACTTATTACACTATGTACAGAAAATCACCTGCTGGCAATACAACTATAAAACATAACCAAAATTTATACCACATATTTTGGTTTATGAACACTTGCACAGGACAACAATTTCCTGATTATATGGATTCAACACAGTGAAGCTTCAGTCTATAAAACATGAAGGCATTTCATGTCACTAAGCTGCTTTTGTTTAAACCTGTGAGCCTTATTTTGGTCTGTTATCTTATTTAATGATTTTTCATCAGCAGCACAAGTTATATAGTGTCCACTTTGAAGGTGGCAGTAAATGATGAATTGTGAAGGATATGTGGTCATGACCTGTTTTAAGATTCTGACCTTTCTTTAAGTGTAGGAAGCATACAAATGCTCATTCAGGACAACCAGCCTCCAGGCTCAGTTTTGAGCTTGTGACCTGCAACATACAAAGTGAGAATGCTAACTGCCCGACTGCAACGTTGAAACATGGAGGGGAAAAAAGAAATAAAGAAAATTAAATTAATGCTTTAAATGACAGAAATGTACTAGGTGAAGTCTGTATTTGGTATATGAGATCTGAGGTTCTCATGACAGTTGCCTTCTGGGTTGTAATGCTTTGTAGTCTTGTTGGTGATAACCAACATTTAACAGGAATTAATTGCCTCCATAGTCAGGGTTCGGTGTATCACCTCCATCTTCATCTCTGCAGTTGTACGAGCAATACATTCCTCTTGAACACTGGTAATCATCTTCAAGGCCTCATGGCATCACCACCCAGAAGGCTACAATGGACATGCATTTTGGCATGTTCTTTGCATTGTATAATTTTACGTTTTCTGTGGTTCAAATTGATTATTTTTATTCTCTGAATTAAAGAATATTCTGTAATGGTGCACTACAACACGCGCGTCTCAGAAGAAGCTGTGCTAGAAAGCATTTAAAATTGGCATTTTAACTTGTAACTGACTTACGTAAATTTAAGGCATTTGTGGACATTGTGGATTAGATCCTTATTGCAGACACATAGAAGCAGGGAATTAAATTTAACGATGGCCACATTGGTTCAAAGTATGTTGTTCAAGTGAACAGAGTGTGTGAAAAGCCACACGCAAAAACACCAAGAATTAAATAATATAACTAATATGAACCATAAGTTATTAAAAACATTGTTTAAGTTCTGATTTATTTGTTGAAACATTTCTTAGCATGGAAGAAATCTGAAGATATATTGTAGGTTACAGAAAACAATCTCTCCACTTTTTTAGAGCAATTCATAAGCATCTTCTTCCTCTATGTATATATTTTATTGTTCTGTAGGATCCTGTAGAAGATAAATAGTGCATAAGAGAGTGTGATGTGTCCCTTGGCTGTCACAAATTAAGCACTAATTGCTTTGTACTGAGAACAAAAAGTGTAACAAAATTGCCTTTGACTTTGCGTGCGTGCATGCGTGTGTGTGTGTGTGTGTCCTCTATTCTAACAAACATGTTCCTGTGTAACATTCATGCTCTATAACAGCAAGCAAACAAACCATCACCTAACCGTTCATGTTGGAAAAGAGTGTTGTCAGCAGCACGCAAAAGAGCAGCCATTGCCTGTCTTCGCAGTGAACCCCTCTACATGCTCAGGAGGTAAATCTATAACTTCTTGCATGTATTTAGTATAGAGGTGACTTTTTCTTCTACAAAATGTCTTGCTTTAACAGTAATATATATTGTAAGGCAGGGTACTATAAAAACAATTGCAGAGACTGGTAGTAAGTAGAAATTGTTCTATAAACCATGCTGTGATAAAGTGAATTATGTCAGCCTGTAGATATAAGTTGTATTTCCAAAGCCCTGTTAAGTACATAGACACAATTTTTATTATATTTAACATGTACACTGTTAGCTCCCAGCTGTGTAGTTGAGGCTATAATTTGCACTGCTTATTGACTTATAAAACAAATAATGCTTGAGGGAGAAAAGAAGATGGTGCTGTATGACCATGCAACTCAAATGGTAACCAGTTTGAAATATGTAAGAGTTGAGCAGTGGACTATGATGATTCATATTTGAACTTTAAGAATTCAGACACAATTTTATTAAGGCCATTTTAAAATGGCTTCAAATCTAAGGTGTTAATGTTTACGTACACATGAGTGTACAAAGACGTGAAATGTACAAGCGATGCTGATATCTCTGAAAAATATTCTCCAATTTACACACAGATTAGGTTTCCATTGCATTTTGAGTCATGCTAATACTGTGTCATATTTAATGTGTCAGCATCATTGATAGACTGTTCCATAGATAGACAATAATGTGTGATCCAATTTCTGTCTCAGAGTATCGAAAACTAGTAAAATTTGTTAAAGAATTGCAGTTCAGTATTTTCATAATGGTGTATTAGTCAGAAGAAAGTTTAAGAATAGGTGGAAGATTTCAAAGAGGGCATACAGGTGTTGCTGATAATGTCCTTTATGGGTGGTCATAGACTCCAACACATGTTGAATTTAAGAAGTAGATAAAGAGAGGAGCAGTGCAAAGGTAGCTTAATGCCACAAAAGTTAACACATTATTGTGAGAAAATTAGGAAATTTTTGGGCTTTTGAAACAAATGTATTGAACAATAGGGTTATTAATTTCAAAATTGTTAAGCACTTTGTAATTTTTTTTCTCCAAAATTTATAGCAAAATTGTCTTACCTACATTCAAGTATTACTAAAACTAAATTTTACTGCAGTTATTTTTGTTCCTTGCTGCCTGCAAGAAGTTTTCAAGTTCACCAACTGAGTTTATGAATATGAAGTGACGATACTTTTAATACATTTGTCCTTCTGAATTGTCCTCATTCCAGTTATGGAACCGTCCATAATAGATGGATGCTTGAGAGAATCATAACAAATTTTAGTTAGTATTTATGTGAGTCACTTGATATCATTAATGCAAATATCTATGAATCTCACTCTAAAGCACCAGATCTCTCATATTACATACCACTGAAAGTTTGTTTACATATTATGTAAGAAACACGCTCCTACATATGTTAGATAATAATTTGAAAATTTGAACAGTAATATTCACTAGTTATGAAGAGTTTATTTTAAACTCATTTTACATTTTTGTTCTTAGGCATCGAGCGATCAACATTTTCATTCGAACATATCATGAACTGTGGTTGCAAGATGAAAATGTGGGTCAGGAAGTCATGATTGAGGATCTCACAGTGAGTATCATGGATGCGCTTTCTTACATATGAATTTTCCTTTACATATGGCTGTAGTTCTTTCTTGATAATAAAGTTTAGAAATGAGTTTAAACTGTGTTTCTTTCTAAACAAATAAACAATAATTTCTTGCTTGTATATCTCTTAGTAGGCCAGGAAATAAACTAACATATTCACCCTGCATGAACATTTGGGTGGATGTCCACATAAACATTTATACATGTAATATGACTTTCAATAAAAGTAGCTATAATGTTTGTAGTAAGTCAATAATATTATATTGAATGGTAATTACTGTATGTATTAGCAATCGTTTGAAGACTCAGAGTTGAAGAAAAGTGATGCAGTACAGGAAGAAGGGAAACCAGATCCCCTGAACCAACTGGTTACCACGTTCTGCCGAGGGGCAATGACGGAGCGCAGCGGAGCTTTGCAAGAGGACCCACTGTATATGTCGTATGCTGAAATCTCTGCTAAGTAAGTGTAAATGGCATTTGTTTTCTGAGATCTCTGTCCAAAAGCAAAGTCGGGGAATGCACGTATAATATACATTGTTTTGCTTAGTCTGCTTTCATTTGAATATAAATATAGATGCGTGCTCATCAAAGAATTAACTGACTTAACTATTTACTAAGAACTTTTTAGTATAGGTGTGAAATGTACGGTACCATTTTCAATAGTGGATCTCTTCATCCTTGCTATGTGCTTCTTGCCTTCCCCATCAAGGCACCGTCACTCTTACCTGTTATGAAAAGTTGGGTGAAATCAACAATTACCATCATCATCATCATCATCACAGGTTCTACAGCCTATTACAGGCCTTGACTGCCCCAATCAACAGTTACACAAGGAATAAAACTGGAAAGATTGCACTCTCTGGACTACACACAAATCCGAGTTTGTTCTTTATGCAATTATGTAAAATATTTACAGCATATTCTGCATATAATGAGTTCTCATTCCCATTGCTGTTAATCTTGTTTTTTTTGTCATTATTTATGTGAAACCAAATTTGATACTAAGTATGCATATATGTTTCCAAAATTTAAAAATATACAGTCTAAAATGTTTAAACATAGAGTTAATAAAATATTAACCAATATAAATGGATGATTTATAAGCATGTGAGGTTAGGTTATTGCTGTTTAGTATAGGACAAAACAGAGTTTATTATTTGACTTGGAAGAAATTGTGCCAATTTTTAACCTGTACTAAAAGCCACATTGAACAAACTGAAATCCCAGAAACTGCTCGTTAAGTAATTTCTCATAGTGTTTATATTTACGAAATGAGAGTGTGTGTTTTTACACACACACACACACACAATTTAAGAGCTTTTCCTAGTAGTTCTGTCATTTAAGTCACTTCATCTATTTATTTATTGTTGTGTGTTAAAAAATACCAACATGGTGGTAGTGTAAACCTTTGAGGCTTCATTTGACTTTTAGGCACTGAAAGCCAAAATGAAAGTAAATTTTGTAAAATATTTTCATTAAATTGTGTGCTGAGGCTTAAGTAAATCAGACAAATATATGAAGAAAATTGTTCACTTTAAAATTAATGTAATGATATTTGTCTTTAGGTCCTGTGGTGAGGAGGAAGAGGAAGGAGAAGAAGAAGGTGGTGATGAGGAAGGAGGTGCTTCTATCCACGTAAGTTTCCAGTTGAATTTACTTTGACTGATACTTGTTTGGTACAGTAGGCGTTGATACACTGGGTCCTTCATCACATAGCGCAGTGGGTCATATCATAAGCTTGTATTATAGTTGAGATTCTCTTCTGATGTTCTCCTTTCTTTGCTGATATTTTGGGAATCTGTATGAGCACGCATTATAAAATCTTTTGCGCTGATGAAAATTATGCACATTGTATTTTAATATTGGTGGAGGAAAAATAATATATAAATATGTATTAAATAGAAGCAGCATTTAGACAATCACAGAATATGAACGTTTTTGTTCATATTGTCTATGGCATTCATAGAAGTTAATATGGTTGATTGAAAACCTCGGATTCATCAGTTGATCCTCTGACTTTCTGGCCAGTTAGGTATCAATTCTCCACTGTTTCTTCATAATACACAATTTTATTTTATACTTTCTGTACTGTTATTTCATAAGTCTCATAAAAGGATCTGTACTTACATTAACCACAATAAATAGCTCATGATAGTGTGTTTGCCTATGGTATGGGTTGCTGGCTGGGGTTTGATTCCCAGTGAAGTGATTTTCTTTTAATTACTGTGTCTGTAATGGCTTCGGAGGCCATGATTTCTTTTAAGTCGTTGCTTTCATCTGTGTTTTTCTTTCTTTCTTTATTCTTTTTGTCCTGTATTCCTTTATTACATTTGAGAATGAAATTACTGCAGTTGCTTTCTCATCATGAATGGTTGAAAATACACCAATATTTTACATCAGTCACGCTTGACTCAATAGTATTTGCAGACAACATAAGTTTTTATCCCTTTGTGAGACTTATGAAGAAACCATAAAATAAAATCATGTATTACAAAGAAACAGTGGAGTGTCAACACCCAATATTTTGGCCAGAAAGTCAGAGGAGGGTCCATTATCATACTACAAAACCTGAGCTGAATCAGAGGCTTTAAGTTGAACCGGTCCCCTTGTTAGTTCTTATGTAATATTTTGTGCTGTAATATTAAAAGTGTTTTAGGAAAAAGAAGAAGGAGAATTTCTCAGATGAGATTTGTGCATATAGTTCTTGAAATGTTATTGCATCTTCAAATCAAACATGCATACTAATTTGTAATTGTTTACAATTTTAAAGAGAACAATGGATACATTAATGGTATGTATAATTCATTATTATTTTTTCCATGCACATTCATGAAGCAAGATTTTTCACTCTGTAATTATGCCAAGTTATTTTGTTATGATATTATATAATTATGGTTGCACAAAGAATAAGTTTAAAAAAGGGAGATAAAGCAGTTACATGTTTCTTGCTTCATGTAGGCTCATCTCTGTGGTGTACATAATCAAAACAACCTCCCCTAGCCTCACAATTCATATCATGGCAATAAAGTTATGTTTATAATAATTTTTAATAAATTAAATTTTAGTAGTTGATGAGTAGATGTTATTGGAAGCTACTAAACCATATGACTGAGAACATCATTGTGAAGATTTCTGTCTTCTGGGTTGTTGCGCTGTGTAGACTGGTCGATGTTAACCAACGTTTCAGAGGTCATACTGCCTCCGTCATCAGGGCAGTATGACCTCTGAAACGTTGGTTAACATCGACCAGTCTACACAGCGCAACAACCCAGAAGACAGAAATCTTCATACTCACCGCTGTGAAAACTTCAAATCTTACAACATCATTGTGCATTTCATTATGCAAATGCAAATGAAATGTCCTTGCTAATTAAGGCGGACAAAAACTTTTAAGGCTTATTATGCGTTCTTTGCACAGTATGCATGAAATGAACACGTATGGTCATGGTCATGTCTGTCTGCATGATTTAACTTGAGAACTAGTGGACAGATTTGGATTAAATTTGGTGTAGATGTATGCCATTGGGGAATACCTTAAAAATTGTACTTTTTAATTTTCTGTAATCATTAATATTAACATCGTGGATGATCAAACTTGCGAGGTGGAATCAGCACTACTGCCACTTGCAATGCGGCCATACAATAATGTATGTTTATAGATTTTTTAAAAATACGCAATTTTGGTATAGTAATTTTTTACACAATGTAAAATGTCAAATGACAACTGCATGAAAAAAGATGTTTTGTCTTAACCAGGATTCAATCCTATGAACCCATATGCATGAATCCAGTGCTCTCTCACAGAGGTAACACATGTTGTGACATATTGGTATTGATTTACATTGTTTATAAAGACCTCAAGACTAGATGATTTGTATAATTGGAAACTAAAGTTGTCTAAGTAAGGATACAGACACAATCTTTTATTAATAATTTAGAATTTGAAAAGAATGTGCTTATCCTGCTACAGACTACAACCATATATTGTTTATATGTCATATGTCAATAGTCTGACAAAAAAGGATAAATAAATAAAATTAAAAGGAACAAAATATTCTTCATTTGTGGGAATGTAATACAGCTCCCTCATAATCAATCAGAATATTTATTTATCGTAGCAGTTTTGGAATGTAAATCATTTTATAGGGCATGAATGAAGATTAGAACACATTTGTATCTTTCTTAGTAATGAGGAAACAAGAATGAAGAAATATACACAATACGACATCACAATCTTTTGCGTTACAGCTAATTCGTAATTCACTATGAAACTTTTGAGGCTTTCCATCATGGTTCTTTTCTTATTGTACATGTTCCTTGTAGATGGGGAATCAGGTTAATAAATTAATACACGTTTGCTTCTACCAGACTACATAGCGCTACAACCCAGAAGATAGCCATCTTCGGACTTACCGCCATGGAAACCTCAAATCCTACTAAGTTAATAAACTAGCTACAATTTGTTGTATTACAGGAACAAGAAATGGAGAAGCAGAAGTTACTGTTCCACCAGGCAAGATTAGCAAATAGGGGTGTAGCAGAGATGGTACTCCTCCACATCTCAGCTTGCAAAGGTGTTCCTAGTGACATGGTTATGAAGACATTGCAACTGGGCATTGCAGTTCTTCGAGGAGGCAATGTTGACATTCAAATGGTAAGTTGGTTCATACATATATCATAAATCTTGTATAGTAAAATGTGCATGTGGTAGTGAAATTCTGTTGGTACGGTTTTAATTAAACAAGAAATAGAAGTTTTATTAGACCTTTGTTTTTGTACGAATGTAAAAACTTGTTACTGTCATTGTCCCTTGGAGAATTAAAAGAGTGTAGTTTTAGAAAAATAATTTTATCTCCTTTACTTTTAAGTTTTTTTTTATGAAACAAAAAATGGTATGAAAGAGGATACATATTCCTGCATGTTCCAGAAAGAAGTAGCCCAAATGTGTGCAGAGTCCAGAAATGTTTTCTTGTATTTTGAGTATTGTCACACTTTCCACAACTTTTGTCTTATATTTATATTGATAATGTTTTAATAACAATTCTCTATAACCAGTCGCAGAATAAATATTCTGATATTAAGTTATCAACTGCTGATTATATAAATTCTCCATCCATAAGATACAGTGAACAGTTTTGTGCATTAGAAATTCTCTGTACATAATTGTGAAAGGGTTTGTTTGAAGCAGAACTTATGCACACTTATTCTTTAAATCTATAATTTATTTTAAAAACCAAAGAAATTAAAGTTAAAATTGAAGATGACATTACACATAACCTTACAAACATTACCACTGAAATACACACACATTTGTTTCTAAACCAATGGTCAGAGGAGCTTCATACAAACTGTTTTAGCATGACCCTTTAAGGCAATCTGTCAGTTTAGACATGCATACCAAATTGCATTGCAGACTCCTGTAATATCAGCACTTTTCTTTTGCATAACCAAGTATCTATGCTTCTTTCAGGGAATGCTGAATCACCTCAAAGAAAAGAAAGATGTTGGCTTCTTCACTTCCATTGCTGGTCTCATGAATTCTTGCAGTGTGCTCGATCTGGACGCCTTTGAGCGCAATACCAAGGCAGAGGGATTGGGTGTGGGTTCGGAAGGAGCGGCTGGAGAGAAGAACATGCACGATGCCGAATTTACCTGTGCTCTTTTCAGGTTCATTCAACTGACCTGTGAAGGTCATAATCTTGGTAAGTTTATATGTAGCCTTCATTTTGTACTAACCTTTAAATGATGGATATGTAAATCCCCCGGTCATGGGACCTATTTTACATCACATTTGTTTTAAAAATACTGGTATTACAGTCTGTACAGGCATATGACATGTCTTACTCAGTCTCTCACCCATTCTCATTCACTCTTTGGCACAGGAAATTCTTTGAAAAGTCGATCGTATACTCAACTTTCCAAAGAATAGCGACATATCTTACTGTGGTCTGGATTTCTTTGTTGTAGGGGACCTCAGGTACCTGATTCTAAAATGTTTTAAGTAAAATTCTTAGGAAATACTACCTGATTAATCTTTTAATACACTGATAACTAGTATTCTGTAAAGTGTTATGTGAATAAAAGTTGTGAATATCTGAATGCCATGAATATTTGTATTTGTATGTTGACAGAGTGGCAGAATTACCTAAGAACACAGGCTGGAAACACGACTACAGTTAATGTTGTTATCTGCACAGTTGATTACTTGCTGAGACTTCAGGTATGGTCCATTTGTTGCTCTCAAAGGAAATATGAAAACATTTTCTATATGTTTTCCTGTAGTAACTGTATGAAGAGGTGTACCATCTTATTTGTTCTGTAGGTTATCATTTATATTATATTTGCTGATATGTCTATTTTACTGTGCCCTTCCATTATATATAGGATGAAAATAGCTTTATTCAGTGTCATGTTGATTACATTCTGTTGGATTTTCTGCCTGATTCTGAGAGGTCACTGTGCTGACTTTTGTCAGACTCTAGTTCAACGTAGTGCTCTGATTCAGATAAAAGTATACAGAAATTTTCAGAGCTTGAGTTCTGTTTAAAGGGTTATCTCGGTATATTTTATGGATCTTGGCATGGACCTCGTGCTACTAGTGACCATCCCATCTTAGTATGTCAGTAATATCTGCGTGGCATCCATATGAACTTCTGAAGTAAGAGTGGCATAGTAGCACTGTTCGTTATATTCTCCAATTCTGTGCAGTAACTGATCTTAAAGAAATATGCAACTTTATTTTATAGAGTTAGGCATGTGAAATTTTGTCTCAAAATGTATACGTTCTTTATGAACCTTTTCCTGAGGATACATCTGACCAATTTAATGTCATGAAAATCTGTACTAGTATAAGTTATGTACAGAAAAGACATTTTAGTTATGCAGTTATTAATTAGTTTTTGCTAACTTCACCATCCATATTGAAGGAAAGTAGGTCTAATTAGTTTTTCTCTGAATCTCCTGTTTTCTGTCTTCCAAACTAACCTAAGATGCAAACGTCTGTTGACTAGAACTTTCAAGGCCTTTGACGAATTGGTGTTGGACAGTTTCAGATATTTCTTATTAGTTAAATCTGCAGAGACTTCAGTATTTTCTGCATTCTCTTTACATACGTATTTACAATCAAAACCATAGCAGATTCTTTCATGAAATAATAAAAATAATAACAACATTAATGTTACTTTTTAGACTTAAAGTTCTCATGACAGTGAAGATAAACTGTAATGCCATGTAGACTTGTAGCTACAAGTCCATAAATTCTTATAACCATGAATACCATCAGCTTTGTCCTTGTTTGTTTCCAAGTGCTATACATTAGTTCGTCATGTGTCTACAAGAATCCATGTAGTATATTTTTTATAAACATATTTATGAAGGACAAGCAAAGTAAACAACACACCTGTCACTATAAACTGCCAGCCTGAAGACTATTATTCTCCACTACATGGTACATACAGGCCATTAAATTTAGTTCACATATGTGAAAGTTAACAGTTAACCTTTGAAGACCCACCATAGACTTCAAGACATGGCAGGAGTTCAATCTGCTAGGAAAATTTTCAAGTGTATTTCTGTTTTATCATGCACAATGTACCTTGTACAATTTTATCAGCTGTGTTATACATGTTACAGGAATCTATCATGGACTTCTATTGGCATTATTCTAGTAAGGAGATTATTGATCCAGCTGGTAAAGCCAATTTCTTCAAAGCTATTGGTGTAGCAAGTCAAGTATTTAACACACTTACTGAAGTAATCCAGGGTCCTTGTACTCAGAATCAACAAGCATTAGCCCACTCAAGGTAAAGTAAAGAGGGCATTATTACAGTAAAATCTCGGTGTAATGAACTTTCGTGGACTGACAAATTATATTTGTGATGAAGATAACTGCTGTCTCAGATCTTGCACCATTTAGTTTGGTAGAAATCTATTGATGTTTCAGAGACTTCATCACCACCCTGCATTCTCACTGCTGTGAGAATATAAAGTCTCACACGCACGCGCACACAGACGTACTTACATATACATTAATTAAATGTGATTATAATGAAAGGCATTTTTAAATAACTTTTATTATTTTACATAGAAAAGTGGTACATTATGCGTTCATTATGATATTTGTGAAAGGAATAGTTTATCGTGCTTTTACAACATAAAGTAGAATGATCTATCTAACATTTATGTGATCATGTAAATGATCCTTCATTCAGCTTGCACTGCGCATCATGTAGCGTACTGGTAAACCACTTAGACCCAAAGTTAATATCTTGTTGGCAACCCTGATGGTAGATTTAAATCCCTTGTTTCTGTTTGATAATGATTAGCATGAATTATTTGTACAAGTGCATATACACAGACTATTTTGGTGATATTTGTTGTGGCTGTCATGCGATTAGCAGAGACCCAGGGGCCAGATTTTTTATTTGCCCTGTAATGTCATCCCAGAAACTAACAACTCGAGTCCCTTTCTAACCCATCATTCAATTCACTGTCTGATGTGCTGTTTTTGTAATCAGAGTCTTTATTTTCACCAATTTTATTACCACTGTCACTAAATTATATGTCTGAAAGATTTCCTTCACACACTCCAATTACAGAATCTATTTATAAACCATATTCTTCTTTATGCTCTGTTTCTTTTTGCAGGTTGTGGGATGCTGTTGGAGGTTTCTTGTTTCTGTTCTCTCACATGCAGGACAAACTATCGAAACATTCAAGTCAGGTTGACTTGCTGAAAGAACTTCTCAATCTTCAGAAGGACATGATCACTATGATGCTGTCCATGCTTGAAGGTACAGATATCTGTGATAAAATTATAATAAAATGTTTGTAACAAATATGAGAACAAGGACTTAATAAACTTGAATATGCACAATAAATAGAGGACATGATAAATTCAGAAAATGAGACATGAAAGAAAACTGTTGTATATGTTAAATTATAACAAGAGGAAGCTTATTTAATGAGAAGCACCAAACTTTTCAGACATCCTTTCACATTAGGAAAGAACTGTTTGGAATGTACGTTTTATCTGATTCATAAGAGAACTGAACTGAATATCTTGCAGGTGATGATATGTGGGAGCTGAAATAGTATTAGAAGAATAGTATTACAAGGATTTATAAGATCCAGTGTTTGAGTTGGCTTGTAATACCAAATAGTATTAGACAGGTACAAGGATTTATAATATCCAGTGTTTGAGTTGGCTTGTAATACAGCACCCTATATTAAGGATTATTCTTAGTGCATTGCATACTCCAAATTCTTGGCCATAGTTCAACATTTTAGAGACCTTCTCTGCCTCGATCATCAGGGAATCATGATATGTGACTACTGCTTGTTTATATACATGATTGGTGCCCCTTCTTGTATGATTTTTGACCAATGGGGATTGTGGATAAACCAATTTTGAAACCATTCACTCAAGAGTCACTGCACCTGGAACTTGGTGTCAGAGCGACCCAGTGATGGCTCTCTAGGAATAGCCAGTCATCTGTCTTCATTCAGGAGGTCCCATTATCTTTACCAGCAGTAACTCCCCCCCCCCACATACACTTTTTCTTTTGAAGGTGACAGGGGTTCTTGAATGAAGACAGATGATTGGCTGTTCCTAGTTCCTTCACTTTGTGTGTGCTTAAAACAAAATTATTCAACTTTTATTTTTCATTTTCAGGCAATGTTGTGAATGGCACCATTGGAAAGCAGATGGTGGACACGTTAGTGGAGTCAGCATCTAATGTCGAGGTGAGTCTTTAGATGAGTATGGATATTGTTTTCTTACATGAAGTGCACAGTTATAGTGAAAGTTTGAGGGGCATTAAATGTAATGTAATGAATGCAGGAATACATTTTGAAGTGCAGAATTAGAGTATTGTAATCTGTTCTACACTCTCATAATTTAAAATCACATTTGTACTGTCTCTTACAGTTGATCCTGAAATACTTTGACATGTTCTTGAAGTTGAAAGATCTGACGTCATCAACTAGCTTCCAGGTGTGTAATCTAATATTATAAGCTGCATAATTCAGTTTTTCTTGCTCAAACTTCCAGTTACCCAGACTAATTTTGGATAGAAGATGCATGAACATTAAAAGAAAATGGTAACCCAAAATATTTCGTTTGGTGCTTTTATTGCAGTTTTGCAAAACTTCACAAATTACTTTACTTTCTTTGCATAATTGATATTTATTTTGGGAAATAGTTTGTAATGTTCCATTTGTATTTGTGAACTGGTTAGACTCCTCACGGCAGAGATCATTTCACTCTTACCCTTTGGACCCTCTTGTTCACACTCTTGTTTCACAGCACAGATATGTATGTCTGTCTGTCTGTCAAGTGCTGGAAGGCCAGTTCACATACGTCACTTTGTAGTCATTCTTCAACATTATCTTTGTCAATGCTTTTAGACACACGCCATATCAAGAATTTTGGACTTACTGATTTCTTTGTTACAAGTACTTTACAAATCATGCTTTTCTACATCTGAAAGAAGTTTTCTCCATGGTTGAATTAGCATTACACGATTTATGGAAGAGCATACCAGAGATACACCATATCCAATTCCATTATTTTATTCCTTAATACTGTTATGTTGTTATCTTGATCAGCAAGAGTTCTGAGCTCATGCTGGTAATGTAATTTCATGGACGCAATCACTCAACCCCTATGCCATAATCTTTGGCTAATTCTGTCACAAATTCTTCATCCTCAATTTTTTAAATTAATTCAAGCTTTGTTTTCTGTCAGTACAAATTTCTTATGATTTTCTACCATCTTACTTATGAAGATTTCTGTCTTCTGGGTTGTTGGAGGCAGTATGACCTCTGAAACGTTGGTAAACATCGACTAGTCGACACAGCGCAACAACCCAGAAGACAGAAATCTTCATACTCACCGCTGTGAAAACCTCAAAACTTACGTATCTTACTTATGATCCACAAGTATTAACCATAATTGTTAACTAGTCAAGTCAGTACATTGTAGCAGAAGCAATTGCAAACCACTAATATTTTGCAGAAAACATGCACACCTGTAGCATTCCACTTCTCCACCACCATGACCATTGGAATAAACCATCCCAACCCACCACCAATACTGACTGTAAAACACTGAAGAGAAAGGTATTGTCTGGCCATTACCTTGTGTAGCCAACCTACCTTCTCCCCACTGAACTGGGCAACGTGGCACAGAACGATATTGAAGCTAGTTTATACATGTCTGCATTTATGTAAAAGAAATCCTGCAAACCAGATAATCCATACACAAATAATAAGGAATTTGCTGTACTGACTTTAATTTTCGTATTATGTAATACTAAATAAAGGAAATTATTGTATATGTCATATATTTTACATTTTAATGAATGTGAAACAGTGTTTTTGTATGTAATATGTATAACGAAATGTTTGTTGCTTTATTTAGTATAATATTTTATTCTAGGAAATTGACATTAACCATGATGGATGGGTTCTGCCAAAGGATTTCAGAGAAAAAATGGAACAACAAAAGAGCTATACTCCGTAAGTTATGTCTGCACCAATGTTCCAATACTTACTGTAGTTTATAATGTTGAGGCATATTCTGAATAATAAGTCTTCTATATCATTTGGCCAAACTTCTGGAGAAAGTTTCATCACTATCTGTTATTTCAGTCTGTTATTGAAGTCTTTATTGCAGTTACATATTTATATGTAAATTATATTTTTATGCAATCTTTCACTTATAAGTGACTTTAAAATATTATTGTGTAAATAATAAAGTGTATACATATACACTGGTTCTTGTATAGAACATTATTAAACCAGCTGTAAAATAAGATACAACAGAATTTTAGAGAGTTTTCACTTCTTGCAAATTGAAGTGATAGTTGAAAAATAAATTAGTGTGAAAAGTGGAATACAAAAGGATTTAAGTTTCTGCTCACTTATTCCATTAACCATAATAGGATTATTGAATTAATAAAATTTGGCAGAGTGCCTCAAAAATATTAAAGCAAGATTATTTTATGTCCTAAATTATATGTAGGGCAGAAAGTGGAAGAGAATTAGAATGTCTGTTTTCAGATGCCCATACAATAAAACATAAGGTAATTTTTTAAATTCTCCACAGGTTGCCTCAAAAACATATCCACAAGAAACTTGTCAGTCATTAAACAAAAATAAAGGGTGACGGAGATTTACCTTAATGATACACACTGTTGAATTATTTTACCCATGGGTTTGCTAAATGTTAGAAGATTCCTGAAATGTTTTTGTGAAATATTTTACAGATCATGTATCAAAGACAAAAACAAATATAAGGAACAAATGTGCTTATATTTGTATTTATTTGAGAAAAAATGTTATTTTTAAAATTCTGACAGAAGATTCTTTACCTTTATTGCCCATGCATTGCTAGGATACTACTAAACCGTTCAGCCCTGAGCAGCAATGCAGTATGGGAATTTAAATCCTGTATTCACATATGACACAAGTTAAAACTGGGTCTGGTTCGCGTTTTATGCTTATTATGCTCTGTGATGCACATAAATGCAAAGTAGAGAAGCACAAACTGATTACTTTTTAACAGCCTTTAGAAGAAACATTATTACAGAAGTTGTAAAACCAAAGTTCTTAGTATCCTTATTTTTACAGTCACTGTTCTGACTCTATACACACACACACACATGTGCGCACATGCACAGACATGCACACACAGAGATATTTTCATATATTAATAAATAAACATTGTTTTTTGTATTTGCAGTGAAGAGATCAACTTCTTGTTGATGTGTTGTGACACAAACCATGATGGGAAGATAGATTATGTGGAATTTACAGATAGGTTCCATGATCCTGCCAAGGAAATTGGCTTCAACCTTGCTGTACTACTAACTAATTTGTCTGAGCATATGCCTAATGAGCCAAGGTAATGCTGCACTCTATTCCTGACATTTGTAGAAGTTAACAGAAAATATTTTGTGAATGGCATTGTATTATTTTACATTCAAAATTCGGTAACAACAACCCAGAAGATAGACATCTTCAGACTCGCTGACATTAAAACCTCAAATTGTGCTTAATTCATGATAAATCCAGATGTATGCCTATTAAAATGTAAGTAAGTAGAATCCTGAGTAGTTCATGAATGTGGGTGGTTTGATGAAGAACATTATATCTAAATAATTTTTCCGTGAACATATTCCTCTGAATACTTTACAAATGGAGGTAACTCAATGAGGCAAAACCAGAAAGTAAGATGAGACAGCATGTTCTTGCTGAAATTACCTTACATGTTACAAATACATGTAGTACACTAAATTTCGAATTAAAATTTAATAAATTATATATAAAAAGTGTTGAAAATGCTGAGTTGTGAAAGTGGGGGTCATTTTAAATTGGTTTCAATTTCTTGATTGCAATTGCACGAATGGTCCCCACCTGGTAGGTATTTACTGAAAGCTGTCTCCCAACTTAATTGGTTAAGTTAATATACACATGCATTATTTATTTCTTATTTAGAAATCTATCACACTCCTTTTATATTCTGTATTGCCTTGAAAGGCGGCCGCGCGGTCTGAGGCGTGGGCCTTGTGCCGCTTGGTTGCTGGGACCGTGGGTTCGAATCCCACTCAAGCCATGGATGTTTGTCTGCGTTTTTCTGTGTTGTGCTGTCCTGTGTACGAGTAGAGGTCTTGCGACGGGCCGATCCCTCATCCAAGGAGTCCTACCGAATGTCTATAGATCAAGCCAACGAAAAAGTTGGGACCCACAGTGCTTAAGCACTTGAAGAACGGGTAATTTCCAGTATCCCCCAGTATCCCAGTATTGCCTTAAAAACATTTAAAATCAATTTGGTCACAAATTTTAAAATACTTAGCTAGTTTACAGAGCTCCTGTTAATAACAAATTTATCAAATGGCCTATTCAGTGACTATGTGACTGGCCCTGTCCTCCAAAGAATTATGAATTAAAAATACGGTTTCTGTTCAAAATAAACTGATGCTACACTTTTGACAAATATATTTTCTTCATACTACCAACAGAATTAATGAAAATTTGTGATATTGGTGCCTTACATCAACATTCATTTATGTGTCAGGTTGGCCAGATTCTTAGAAACTGCTGGCAGTGTCCTCAACTATTTTGAACCATTCTTAGGACGTATTGAAATTCTTGGTGGTGGCAAGAGGATAGAAAGGGTGTACTTTGAAATCAAGGAATCCAACATTGAACAATGGGAAAAGCCACAAATTAAGGTATGACTAATCTCTTTACTTCAATTTTAACAGGGCCTCCTATCCAGTGAGTACAAGGGAGATCTTTCCCCGTAGATAAAGCAGTTGGTATAGATCATTACCTCCACTCTTCACTGTATCTTTATTATGTCATTCTTAAACAGAGAGGTGACACTTACAATTGTGTATTTATTTTCAAGGATACAGACGTAGAATGAAGAAAGAATAGAAAAAGAATGATTTAACATCCGATTTCCTTCTGACCATTTAACATTTATTTTTTGCTTCAAAACCAAGCTGATCAGATTTCCATGGTACCCTCACTTCCAATTGTCAGTTTTACAATATCTCTTCTCTTTACCTTTGCACTGAAATCTTGTAACAAATGTTTTGTGTGATACTGATAATGGTCAAAGGCATGGCTTAGTTACTCATAAAAGCTATAATTTTTATAATCACTTTTATTCTCAGATTGACTATGCACATTCAAAACAATATCACATCAATGATGTCTTGGTTTTGTATGTGTCATCCTGAGAGCGACAAACAAATCTGCTAATTACTGCTACGATTTCCTTACGTACAATTCTTACTGAAATGTACAGTTGCGTCTCAGTGCATTCTGTCCTGACATCACAGTAGTCTGGGTAATTAATTATACAGGCATTTACTTAATATGATTGTTTCCACACAGGAATCAAAGCGAGCATTCTTCTACTCCATTGTTACTGAGGGAGGTGACAAAGAAAAGTTGGAGGCATTTGTCAATTTCTGTGAAGATGCCATTTTTGAAATGACGCACGCCAGTGGATTGATGGCCGTGGTGGAAAGCTCTGGAGGAGGAAAGGCAAGGGAAGCTTCATACAGTTACATGACTGAAGAGGATGAAGAACGGTGAGCTCGTTGTTGTGTGCTCTGTTTCTGGAAATTAAATTAAATAATCCAGTTAGCAAATGGCATGATTGAGAGAAAGAATGAGGAAACATGGAAATTCATTTTTCTTATGAATTATTAACACTTCATTTGCTCTTATTGTAGAGCCGCTAGGGATCCCATCCAACGAGGCATCCAAGCTACGAAGGATGCTCTGTACTTTTGTATAACAATGTTGTCTCCATCACATATAAAAGCAAAGATCACTGAGCTGCAGCAGATGACAATACCAGAAATCTTCATTGCCTTCTTCAAGATGATCTTCTATGCTTTCTACTATTCTGGATTTGGTATCTCAATTGTCATACGGTAAGAATACATACTGTAATAGAAATTATTCATAATTATTATAGCTTAAATTAATCTTTATTTCTTTTACATTACCAAGCAATGGTTTTATACTAATGATGAGTAATATGTTCTTACAACTTTGCAGTACTCTTGGTTGCATTGTCATATCTTAATTCGTTATCAGAATATGACTATATTACTAAAGGTAATACGAAAAGACACATTTAATTCCATCCAGGTATTATGTGTGGGACACTCAACTTAGCATACTGCTGAGACAAGCTTTGCAGTATTTGGTGCGTCTTCAAGGAATAATACTAGATGTGTTCTCTGTGCATGGTGCAAATTAAATATATTTTAGACATCGGATTGATTAATCACACTTTTCTAACAAATATATACAGAAGTATATGTGGTGACCCATAAAACTTGTTTACAGTATGTATTAAATTTAAGATCCATTATTACTTTATAAAATATTCCTGACAGAAGAAAAATTCTGTGACATGCTCTTAGTTGTGTATTTTTATTTTTCTACATTAATTTTAAAAATTATCAAGTTTAATGTAATGTAAGAATACTTCAGATTTTGACCTTTATGGTAGTGTCTTTGAATTTCTAGCACTTATGAAAAATTAAATAGAACTATTCATATCTGTAAAGTTGACAGAGTCAAGGAACTATGCAATTGATAACTACATAAGCACTGATTTATGGAAATATTGTTACAATGCAGTTGATAGACACAGGTTCATAGTTTTCTTGCGTTTCATTTCAGGTACTTTGTGGGAGTTCTGATGTCACTGATGCGAGGTCCACAAGTAGAAGAACCAGTGGAAGAAGTGAAAATGGAGGGAAAAATAGGTCCATTACGAGTGTTACCAGCGTTACCAGCAACACCTGATGAAGCTTCTTCACCAACACAGTTACAGGCATTTGGACTTGATATAACCAAGGAGGACAATGGGCAGTAAGTTTGTGTACAAAAAAAAAAACCTTTCATTTACAGAAATCACTGGAAAATCACAGAACAAAATCATATGATTAGACTTTTCTTTTTTGCAAAACTCCTTGTATTTTTTACACTGATATATGCTGTTGAGATATGAAACTTTACTGTTTCAGTCCACAGATTAGTTATTCTGTGAAGCTGGTGCATTTATCATTTGAAATTATTTCCCCTTCATTTAACACTTTTTTATTATTGTCATCAGTATTACTGCCTCTATTAGGATGCATTACGATGCCAACTATTTTCCGTCTGTGAGTTGGAGGACTACTGGAGCATCATTATCTACATTCGAGATATACCTCAACAGCTTCTTCATCTGACAATTTCACTTCTTCAGATGTCAATTCTTTTGTGTTTTTCAACAAATTATTCACAGTTTGAGAAATAAAAAACTTCTAAAATCTGGTATCCTATTATCTTCATCATCTAAAAACCACAAAAAAATCTCACAACTTACGCGATCCACTCATTAGACAGACGCAAAGAAGCTACTTTCCGCTAGCAGTAAAATATCATTGACAGTGGTGCCTCTCGCACATGGTGGTGAGTTGAAGAACTGTGAAGTGCCGGTTTCAAACATAACAAGCACAAGAAAATGCCGCCACAAAAAATTACTGGGAAAAATTCAATTTTTTTGTAATTTCTGATTTTTAGATGACTGTTATTATTTTCCACATTACTTCACAATTTTTAATTATTTGTTGTGTCTTCCTAATGTTTGAGAAGAAGCCTGGGAGTGACAAATATCTTAGCTTATGTTCAGGAAAAGGTAAATTCCGTTCAAAAGCAGTGATTTTTGTTATACTTCTTCACTTGCACAACATATCTTTTGCACTACATCATTGGTTTCTTCTTTTGTATAGTGTGACTATACCAGTGAATGATTCTTCAGTCTTATTTTGTTTTTGTCTTGATATTGTGATGGCAGCGATAATGATAATGATGATAGTGACAGACATAATAGTACAGTTGTTTGTCAGGTTTCACATGGCTCCCCATGAAAGTGCTCCACCATCACCACAGTCAAGTTTGGAAGAAGGTGGGGAGTCTACCCCAGAAGAAGGGGGAGAGGAGCATCTGAAGCCTGAGGGATCTGAAGGAGAACCACCGATGTCCTTGGTCGACCTACTCGGGTTAGTTAAGATATAAAATTTCATATTCATTTTGTTACAGTACATAATTATATTTCTTGTGTGACTTTGTATTTTTTTTCTCTGAAACATTGGTCATAACTTGCAACTGTAGAACTGCACGTGGTTGTACCGTTCTAATAATTTTGCTTCGGAAAGTATATAAAATATTTGTACAACTGTGCTGCATTCGGAAGGGAAAATAGTGACTGGCTATATCTGATAATTGACAGTAACAAAATGCAGAACATTGTCTCTGCAACCAAGTGTAAAATGAAGCAAGCATATACTTCTGAGTCGTAACTTGATGATACTACATAATAGTAAGGGTAAATAGGCCTAGACTGCTACAGTTGTGATGATGCTAATAACTGTTTGCATTCAGAGAAGCAGGTAGGAAAATTATTTGTATAATTAATTCTTCTCAGGCTACCAGATACGTCAGGTCGTTGAAAGGTGAAAACACTAACGGTTCAAGAATCATCTTTGTCCTTGTTCTCAGGGTACTGAAGTGGTTGGAGATTTCAGGTCACACTAATTATGTGTAGGTACAGCCTATAGTAACAAGAGGAGAAGGAAAACATAAAAAAGGATAAAATAAACTCTTGTGCTGGAAGCCCACTTCACATGCATAAGAGTGAAGCAAATGTGTGCAGTAATGTAATGTATTCATACACATTTTGACCACTTTCTTCCAGATTATAGATGAATAACTTGTAGACTCAGGACTGATATGATGGCTTCATGTAGGCTGTTGCACTGTTTGATACATTAATAACACGTGCCATTACTGATACTAAATTTTGCTCGGTTTCAATTTTGCAGGGGTGACGCGGCTCGTAAAGCTGCAGCCGCAACAGCTGAAGCAGCAGCTCAGCAGCAGGCGGTAATGGCAGCAGTGGAGGCAGAAACAAAGCAAGAAGTCGTCGTGGAACCATCTGCTGTGTCTCAGGTAGTTTCCATATTGATTGGTCTTTGTGCACAATTATAAAATTCGCAGATAACTTATTGGCAGTCTCATACGTACAAGATGCTCTCTTACAAGTTACATTGCAGTAGTCTCAGACTTGCTTGTCAGATGTACTTTTTGTGATGTTTTAGTTTGAATAATATTACTCAAGTATGGATTATAATTATCTTGTGTAACATTCACAACTCCGTTCTTTTCTGGATGTTCAGGTTTCAGGTTTATGTATGAATTAACAATTTACGTCATATAGGAGCCAGTTTGTTGCCACTCTGGGCCTTTGTCTGAAGGCAAGACTGGTTTATTCATGAAAACAGTTGTGATGTGTCTGCTACATCTTTGGCTTCAGATGTAGGCTACTGTTTCTTTTTCATTTGTAGCCAGTGTATGATATGAACTGTTTCTCATAAAACCAATAAAGAATTTTAAGAATAAATAAGAGTCTATGTTATGGACTTCTATGTTAATTAGAGCTGTCAGAATCAACAGGGAGTGAGAAAAGATGAGCATTTATGACTACATATATTATGTCATATTTTAAGCTGTGGTATAGGTGTCCCCAAAAGTTTCTCATACTCCAAATCAATTAATTTGTCAATATTTTGAAGAATACATAATTGAAATATGCAAAAATAATCATAATATTCATGAAGAAGCATAAACTATTGTGTGCACATAAAGACTGATTATTTTTAAATCTTGAATACAGAGAAATGAATTTGTTCTTATTAACCTAATATTATTTTTAAGATTCTAGCTTAAAATGCAACAAATACAATTTATGACTGTCTGTGCTTCAGGCATTTAAATTCCATTTTAATCCGACTGTGAGGTTGTGCAAGTAATTTAAGTTTCTATACCATACAGGTTAAAGACATTTTAAAACTAATGGTCACTGGTTTTAGATTAACTTCAATGAGTACACAGCAAGGGCTGTTAGTTTTCTGGCTCGGAATTTCTACAACCTGAAGTACGTGGCTTTAGTACTGGCTTTCTGCATCAACTTCATTCTTCTGTTCTATAAGGTTTGTAACTTTTATATTTTCTTAGTGTTACGAGAGGCGGTTTACTTTACAGTAGGGCATCTGTTTGGAATCAGATCTTCAGAACATGGGGTAATCCAGTTCTGTCCATTTCTTCTTTCAAATTCTTCGCCCAGCTCTGAGAGTCTTGTAATTTTGGAATCTATAATCAATATAAGAATGGGTATACTTCTGCTTATAATTATTTTATATTGTAAAAATCTATTTATTTATTTATTACTTTGTTGATGTATTTTTAGATTATTTATAATTCATCTTTAATGTAGGAACATGCTATGTGCTAAGTATTACAGCTTTTATTGCATTTGTAATTTAAATTAGGTAACAACTCTTGGTGAGGATGGTGATGGCGATGACAATGGCAATGGCTCTGGTGGAGAAGAATTAGCTGATCTGATGGAAGAATTGTCCGCTGAAGTTAATTCAACAGAAATTCTGAGTGGAGAGGAAGGTGGAGGAGATGATGATGTGGAAGATCCTATAGAACTTGTTCATGTTGATGAAGATTTCTTCTACATGGCCCATGTTATGAGGTTGATGGCAGCGTTACATACTCTCGTGTCTTTGGCCATGCTTATTGCTTACTATCATCTCAAGGTGAGCTTAGAATTTTGTCCACAAATCAGTAGAACAGTAATTTATGGTGCTCTGCATTGAACTAGACAGATTGTATGTATGTGCTTCATGAATGATAAGCAAACTTTGGCAGATGACTCTGGCCAGCCGATGTCTGTAATAGCTAAATGAAATTTTGTTTGGCCTTGTTCTGTAACATTTAGCTATGTAGATACTGTACATGTTGCCCTGATGCCTAATTTATATGGTTTTGTGCTTAGAATTTGTATATTTCACTAAGCCTTTCTGCATATTCGTGTTTAAAATATTTGTAACGCAGATATTTATGATGGAATCTTTTAACATTTTGAAAAAACTTTTAGCTTTAAAATGTACCAGAATGTCATCAAAAGATAAATGAGTTGGAATTACTTGCGGCAGTACTACAAGAACAAATCATTTTCCAACATTCTTAAGACAATTGATTCTCTGCATCATACAAGATCTCTACAAATAAAAATCAGTCACTGTGGCAAGACTGAACACAGAGAAGTGACATCATTGAGTCACAGCAGATAGGGGCCTTTTTCATAGCAAGGCCCACATTACATCAGATTTGTGATCATGCAGTGTGAAGCATGAATTATATAACTATTACAATAAAAAATACTAGTTATATTGTTTTGTATTTAGTACGATGCTTGTCTAGATGTAATTCTTTAATGTATGTATTTTATGCTTTTATACTTGAGTTTGTGACGTGTTCTATATCCACTATTGGATTTCTGGAACTTGTAAATAATAATAATAATAATATAAGTATATGTTTATAACTAACTCCATGGAGCAGAGAAATTTCCTACCATTTAAGAAACCTGGAGGTTGCCCCAATATTATTTGGTGAAGAATGTAAATTGTGAAGTTCCTTCATATATGATTATGGCATATGTATTTATATATACATGTATATACAGTAAGTATGATTTCCATATTTTTGATATGTAAACTGCTATATAGGTGCCACTGGCTATATTTAAGCGGGAGAAGGAGATAGCAAGGCGACTGGAATTTGATGGTTTATACATAGCAGAACAACCAGAGGATGATGATATCAAGTCACACTGGGATAAGCTAGTCATATCAGCAAAGTGAGTATTAGTTTGATGTCATACTACACACTATCATTGAGTTAGGGGGTGAATTGTGAATTACTGATGACTAGAGAAGAAGGTCATTAGAAACTAATATTAACAACTATATACAGATGTAATCTTAGCTTATAATAGAATATATTTAACTTTTAAAAATGCTTTATACAGCAGCTTAAGACATTTATGTACTACAAAATTTATATATTTTTTTTAAACTTCTGTTTTGGCCGTGAGTAAAATATGATGAAGTTTTTTACATGCAAATGTATTTTTGAAGTGTTTATTTTGACTTGTCATATATTCTACCACTAATTTTTCCAGTCCAGAATCAACAAAGAACACCTTCATAACTGCTTGATATTTCATTATACTAGTCCTTATTTTTAAAAGGATCATTAATTTGTGCTCCATTTCCCCAGTCCAAATCAAGATAATGCAGAGTGAATATATTCAATGAGTAGCATTTTAATGTAACATTGCTCATGAACCAAAAGGCACAAGAATCAAGCTAAATGCATTTGAGTATGTCTGATCAAGGTTATGTTAATTAACATTACCTAATAAAATGGACCGTGACTTGATCACTGAAGAAAATTTTAACTGTAAAAAGTCTGTTGTTTTAAACCTAGAAAAAATAAAGTGGGAGCAAAATGTGTAGCAAACTTCTTTGTCTTGGGCAGTTACATGTTATAACAGTTGGTACTTATAACTTTTAAATGATTCCACAGAATTCTTTGCACTGTTGTATGTGGCATGTTTAATTGTCAGGCAGAATTCCTAGTTGATTTACATGGACTACGAATGATAGCCACGTGAACTGTATCCACCCAGGCTTCAGTGACTGGTCATCTTCCAGGTCTTTTTCCTTTACAAATGCAGTCAGTCGGATCAAACTGTTTACAGCACTGTAAATTAACATTTTTGTCAGCAGTCTGCTTCCAGACACCATACGAAATCTCCTTTGCATTGTAAGTGCAGACCCTGACTTAAGAAACCACCACACACACTTAGCTTTTTCTACTTTAGGCACAATTTTGACAACTATTTGTGTAGTGCTTCAGATGGAAAGATTTGGAAACTCAACTGGCATGAATTATGTACTTGATCATATAACATGTTCAAATGTGTTTAGTTTTCATTCCTCTTACTTTTGGTTCATGAGCAGTGTTAACATCCTGTATATAGAATGAATTTTAGTTACAATCTACAGTGATATGACAGTATTTTACAATATGCAAGGTTCAGTGGTTTTAAAAATATTTTTTGTCTTCTGTGTATGAGTATTTGACAAATATATTTACTTCATTAATTCAGGTCATTCCCTGTCAACTACTGGGATAAATTTGTGAAGAAGAAGGTACGCCAAAAGTACAGCGAGACTTACGATTTTGACTCAATCAGTAACATGCTGGGAATGGAGAAAACATCTTTCAGTGCTCAAGAGGAAGAGACAGGAAGTGGCTTTTTGCATTTGTAAGTACGAAAGCATTTTTTGTTTTCTGGCTGATGAAATTTCAAGTATTGCCAGCCTTCGAAAGCAGCTTATTGAGATCCAAAATGATGAGACACTTTTCAAAAACAAGGAGAAACACTGAGTGTGTTCTGGACCAAAGTGAAAAAAGAAAAACCAATTCTGGGAAATGAAACTCCTGAAGTTTTACTTCACTTTTCTACAACCTATTTATGTGAAGCAGGTTTTTAAACATTTACCTCCATGAAAACAAAGCTTCATAGCTGACTGAAACCAGAGAATAATTTAAAACCCAGCCTTTCAAATTTACAATCTTAGTTCGAAGAACTTTAAGAGCTTGTGCACAGCCAAGGTTCAAATTAATATACTGACATCTGTTCTAGTGTTCTACTGTTCTTCCAATAATATTTGTGCTTTTCTAAACTGCTGTGTACTACAAACTTATAAATTAAGTATTAATCATTTTGTTTTGTATAAGTACCTAATTTTGTAATCATAAATTATATTTTAATAACAATAATATACTTAATTTGCAGAGAAGAGTAACGTTATTAAAAGTAAATGCACTGTTAATTCAAAACTGAATCATGGGTTGTGAAGCTAACTCCCAAACTTATCGTAGGTCCTTGGTTGAAGAGGTTAAGAACTCCTATATTATATAAAATGGTTTCAACATTTCAAAATGAATGCCTGAAAATTGTCACAAAACTTTGTTTTAAATATACTACCATATGTGTGTTGTTAAATAAGCAAACTGTTTTCTACTTTTATCTAGTAAAATTTCAAACACTGTTAAAGTAACTTGACTCAAGCAGAAAGACAGCCTACAACCATCAAATTATGACAAAAGGTCAAGATTGAATTTTTGTATTAATTTGTGTGCTCTTTGTTTTATTTTTATGTAGTATCATAAATATTGACTGGAGGTATCAAGTATGGAAGTCGGGTGTCACAATCACAGACAATGTAAGTGCAGGTAACAGTATATTGTATGTGATATCTTTTCTTGTACATGTAGGATTTCAGGTTGTCACAGCAGTGAGTCTGAAGATGGCTGTCTTCTTGGTTATTGCACTGTGTAGTCTGATAGATTTCCACCAACATTTCAGAGGTCATATTGTCTCTGTCATCAGGATGATGAATGTGCCAATCTAGTGGAAAGGGCTAGGTTTATAGGGACCAGACAGTAACCGGAGTATCATGATCCTAGCCAATGGGAGCTGGTGTCAAATCAAATGTGGGTGGGGACCATAGGATTGCATGGGCGTGTCTTGGGGTGTGTGAGAGAGATGGAGAGAAAGGAGAGAGAGAGGTCCAAGAACCAGCCCTATTTGAGGGACTCAGGGAGTCTGTCCAGTGAGATACAGGACATCAGGAATTGGTTGGAGAGTGAAATCGAACACAGGCCCAGGGCGCTGAAAAGGGGGAGGTGGAAATCTAACAGACTACATGGCACAGTAACCCAGAAGACAGCAATCTTGTATTAATACCAGTTCAAGAAGTAGTAGTCATGATAGTGCCTTCTTGTTTTCCTTCCTCATCCAGTCTTGAGATAATTCATATCACCTAAACATACATTTTTTTACAAGAAATCATGAAAATTTATATAGATATAAAGGTTTGTATGCAAGGTGCCATCACAAGAAACAGCTGGAATCATACCAATCAGTATAGAATTCTTTACCTTACAGTCAAGAAGAAGTTTGTATGACTTTGTCAGTATAATCTCACAACTTCGTACACATGGAATGACAGACAAAAGCATCAGCTCAACAGATTACTGTTTAAGTACAGAAGATTATGTGTCACTTCTCAGGAATGGACACAGCAAGAATTACCTTAAAATTAAACATGCACGTACAACATAATGATATTCATATTTTGCTTTGCTTGGTTAAAAGAAAAAAAGTACACTATTAATAACTTTTTGCAAAATGTCAGCCAGTTTGGCACCTCCTTCATCTTGCACCCTCGGCAGCTGTCCAGTTCATCCACTCCTAAGGCTGGTCCTGCTCAAATATAAATATAATACAAACAATTGTCCTATTTCCATATTATCTAAATTTTGGAATGTATTTGGATCTTCTGTTTACAGATGTATTTAACTTACATTTTCACAGAAATTATTGACATTTATTGTAATAGTTAAATGTTACGAAAGGGAGCTTGATTTATCTTGTAACATACATAACATCCTATTATAACTATAGGCAATAAATTTTTTATTCTCTGTTTTCAGGCTTTCCTGTACAGTTTATGGTATTTCATATTCTCCATCCTTGGAAACTTCAATAATTTCTTCTTTGCAGCTCATTTACTTGATGTTGCTGTAGGTTTCAAGACGCTACGCACTATTTTACAGTCAGTAACCCACAATGGGAAACAGGTAAGATCTTAAGTTTTTGTGGCTGCTGTCTAATATGTGGCATTGGTCTCTTATATGTTGGTATATAGTGTTTTGGCAAACACCTTCTCTTTCATTTATTCATTCTTTTGTCAGTGAGTCATTTATCTATTGTGGTCAAACTACTGACACAGGACACATCAGTAAGGTACATGGTCTTAAATTTGCACGAATTCAAGGTTTCAACTAATTCTAATCAGACACAACATAATACAAAAGAAAATAAGTAGTCCTTCCAATATAAAGAGAGCAGAGCATTGCATGCTACTAATGAATAGTTAATTCATCTATAAAGTAGACTATGTGGTGTATTACAAATGATCTCTGCTCCCTCTTGGAATGTTGAATTTTCTCTAATTTGCTTGTTTGATTTGGTAATCAATTATACAGTTTAATTCCTTTGTTCACTACACTTCTTTTAAAATCATTCTGCAAAACTGATTATGGAGATCCAACCATTGATGTTTTTGAGGTTATGAATTTCTCTGTTTTGTTCCATCTTTTCTATATAATTTTTTATGGTGCACACCTTTCACTTATATACATGCAAGCTATTGGAAAGTTATCTAGTTCATTAGAGAGTTGCTGCTTAAAGGCTAGCCAGGGTATGTTGCTGGCCACTTATCCTCATCAAGTACCAAGGTTCAGAATAAGAAGTAGCTGTACCTCCTCTCCTCACAAGTACCTCCATGCTGTGTAGTGGGACAGCTTTCCTTTATACGACATAAAATTAAACCATACTTCAGATGCATGTGAAAATAAGTGAATAAATAGAATGCATGCACATACACATGTTTAAACCATTCCACTGCACAGTTACAATGCCACAAATAACCTAACATAACCTGAATTTACATGCACTCAGAGAAAAACTAGATTAATTCAGTAATTACTTAGCTTAAAATATTTACACTTTATCTTTGAACAGGTCTATTTTAATTAAGGCACAGCTCACGGCATGCAGTTCCACACTAAAAATACTCAGAAACTAATTTAAATGTTTCACTCCCATCTCAGAGACAGCATTTCAGTGATGTACTTGTTATTTTTCAGCTTGTCCTGACTGTGATGCTGCTGACAATTATTGTGTATATATACACTGTTATTGCCTTCAACTTCTTCAGAAAATTTTATGTTCAAGAGGAAGATGAGGAGGTGGATAAGAAATGTCATGATATGTTAACTGTAAGTTTTGTCCTGCTTAATGTTAGACAAGGTTCTATTGTACTTTCATTGGTAAATTTATAATACACGTCAAATCATTTTCCTCTTAATCCAAACAGAACATTTCTGTACTACACATAGATATAATATTTTGAGGTAAGTTTCTTGGATAAGTTATGCTCATAATATGTTTGTGTTACTATTTCTTTATAAAGAGTACTAAGGGACAAAGTTATTGACAATTACTTTGTAGTATAATTTTACACGCATATTATGTATGTATTTAGGCAAGAAGTTTGAACTAAACAACAGAATGTGCAGTATATTCTGAAAGAATACTGAATACTGTGATAAACATGTACAATGTGATGTGTTCTTATGAAGCTGTATTTGTTTCAGTGCTTTGTGTTCCATTTATACAAAGGAGTGCGTGCGGGTGGAGGTATCGGTGATGAAATTGGATCCCCAGATGGTGATGACTATGAAGTATATCGTATTCTCTTTGACATCACCTTCTTCTTCTTTGTCATTGTCATTTTGCTTGCCATCATCCAGGGTAAGAAATTAAATTAACTAGATAATATTACAAATTCAGTACAGGAATTCAAATTAGATTTATTCTTTCATCATTATTTCAGAAATGTTTAGAAGCAGCTAATGTGCTTACATGTGCCTCTGCTATTTTATACAGAATGTTTCCTTATGTGATAAAATATTTTAATTTTCAAATCCTAATATTGGGATATTATGATCTGCAATTTCCACTTCCCTAATTGAGCCTGAAAGTATGAAGAGTGAAAAAAAAGTGACCACTGTCACTATCTCAAAAGAGATTTCTTTCCTGCATTATACTCAGTATTGCAGGGTAATAGTTATTACTCCTACTTCATATTTATGAGGTACTCAAATTTTAAATCTCTGGAAATCAGCCATCCTGGCTAAGAATTCCCATGGTTTTCCTCATTCCCTGCAGGAAAATGGTTTTGTTATACCTTAAAATAGTCCATGACATCTTCCATCCACATGTTTCTCATCCTCTGATTCATTGCTAGACAGTTAATAATATTTTGATTTCTAACAGCAAATGAGTACTGACTATTGGGGTTAATATATGTAATGTTGTTTACATACATTTCAATTTATTTCCTAAGTAATGTTCATGTTATATGAATTATTTATTCCTTGCTTCCAGTTTGCTCCTGACATCCCCTCTCACTTAGTCCATTCAAATGATATCTTGTGCCTTCCCAATAACTTCTTCCTGCACTCTTCTGCTTCTTTTCCAATGTTTGCCTAATTGCTATTGTCTGTGGTAGATAGCAGACTTGCACCACGTCAGTCTGATAATTCACACATTGGTATAATTGAAAGTTTCGGGTGGAGTTGAGCCTGGCAAGGGTTCTCACAAGAAAGAATCAAATAATGTGTCTACTATTTCAGGTTTGATCATCGATGCTTTTGGTGAGCTGAGAGATCAGCTGGATAGTGTGAAAGAAAACATGGAATCCAACTGTTTCATCTGCGGCATTGGTAAAGAATACTTTGATACAGTTCCACATGGTTTTGACACACATGTTGCAAAGGAGCACAATCTAGCCAATTATATGTGAGTACAATTTATTATACCTCAAATTAGATATCTGTAAAATAAGCATTTTACTGCAATGAGTCGTCACTATTATGCTGTTCATTAGATTGCATTCACATTCTTTAGTAAAAAAAATAAATGTGTCACAGAATGAATGAATGGAAATACATGAGATAACAAGAGATACGATATGTAAGACTTGAGGTTCTCACAGTGGTGAGTATGAAGATTTCCCTGATGACGGAGGCAGTATGACCTCTGAAACGTTGGTTAACATCAACCAGACTACACAGCGCAACAACCCAGAAGACGGAAATCTTCAAGAGATACGATGATTCTGGAAAGTTCTATCTTGGCAATGGAGCAGGTTGTTGCCCTAGAACGGGAGGGTGTACGAGGATGAAAACTTTTAAAAACTTTGTTTTGGCAGTAGTTACTTATAGTGGGTACACAAAATAATTTGTGCAGGAAAACCATGTTTAATCTCTTTATTCCAGTCTGTGCCTTGTTTTAATGCTTGTGTGACTACAACGCACGAAGTCTGAGCTGGTAACCTATGTCATCACTTTGATGGTACTTACTTACACTGCATTCCAAAAACATTATCCTTGGCCTAAATGTATAAGTGGCAGGTGCTGCACACTTTCTCTTTTTCAGAGCCTGTTTTAGAAGTTGTCATCCATTTGCATGTGAAATATACACAGGTGAACTATATCATTACTTGAGTGGAGGCATACACTGTGTTTCCAAAACATCATCAGCCAAACGTGCTTACGGAAGAGTATAGTGGTTTTGTTGCATAAAACGCTACTATTCTGATGGACATTGAGCAGAGAGCAGAGATTGTTCTCAAAACAATGGCGGAAGATATGGTTTAGTCACCGTTCAGCCACCTGACGCAGCTTGTAACCTGAGAGTCTTTCATCAAAAACTAACACTGTTACAGGTTTTGAATATTTGAAGAAAATACTAAAGCCTACAACAGTCAGAAATTGTGCTTTTAACCCAGTAAGACTGCAGTGCTTATTCAGTAATATTGTACTGCTCTAGCTGTCATGTGTTTATTGTGTCTTCTTGACAATATATATGTTTCTTTGAACTTTAAACGCTATCAAAATTGACATCCAAGAACTTACACTAAATTGTTTTTTGGTGACAGGTTCTTCCTCATGCATCTCATCAACAAACCAGATACAGAATACACAGGTCAAGAGACATATGTATGGAATATGTATCAACAGAGGTGTTGGGACTTCTTCCCAGTTGGTGACTGCTTCAGGAAGCAGTATGATGAATTAGGAGGTGGTGGCGGCTAAAATCAAACATAATTAATCTTCACTTCTCTGGAGTTCAAGCAGCATTGAGTTGCAGCTGTAGTCATGAACATTACTGACTGTATCCAATAATCTAGTGAAGAAAATTGATCATCACTGTTTGTCTTTTAACACTTACCTGTGTGCTACAATCTCAGAATTTATTTTGTTTTGTACTCCAGATCCTACATTTACAGTTTTTTTTATATTAAAAAAATGAACATCACTGCATACTTGCTCCAGGATAGGTTAGGTTAGTAGACAGAAAGAAGGAAACAAAGAGACAAAATAAAATGAGAGCCATCAGTTGTCTGTATTGAAGAGATTAAGAGTTAGAAAATAAAACATGGTAAATGCCCTGTCCCAACGTTACAGTACATGTGAATTTTTATGCAGTTTTCAGGACTTTTTCATGCTGTAAGAGCATTTACACATTTCTTCCACATAGAATTATCATATTTTTAGATTAAAAAGTTTAATATAAATATACTCTGTTTAATGTGAGACAGATTCTAATTCTGTCTTCACTGTGCGCACAAAGACATCATAAGAAGTGCATAGCTAAAACCAGTTATAACTTATACTGTTGCCTCTCTTTGTACTAAAGTGTGGTTTAAATTTTAAAAATAGTTTAATTTCTGTATTTTCAATCAGCTTTAATCACAAAGTGGAATTTTTGGGTTAGGTAATATCATGGAAATGAAAGTGTATCTGAAAAGTTTTACAGTGCAAATTATGCAGTATTGCTAAGTGTGTACTATGAAATAAGAAGTGATATATACATGAAAGATAGAAATATTTTAATAAGTACAAGTGACCAGTGTCCACAAATCAAGTCAATGTTTCTTGTACATACAGTTTTTAACCTAAGATTACATTAACACTGAGCCTTAATGAAAACTGAGTTCATCTTAGGCTGGGGCCACACGACCGTACAAAGTACGTCCGTTGAAATGAACGTACTTTTGTACTGACGTAGGTGAGGACACCACACAAGCGCAGTGTGATGCGTCAGTTGCCCCAATGGAGCCAGAAAAAGCTGTTGCGTTCTGTGGTCTTGCCCCTTCATAATTCTATGAAGGACGTCATGATGTGTGTTACAATGGACGTACTTTGTACGGTCGTGTGGCCCCAGCCTAACCAGCAGATTGAAAACACTTGAATAAAATATTATCCCTTTTAAATATGGAAAGACATGTATACTTCACTTTTCATACTGTAAGTTTTATTTCATGTTTGAATCCTAGATACACACATTTAATAATTCTTTATGTCCCAGTTGCATGCATGTGTATGCTTTTACCACTGGGCTTGCACAAATATTATGAGGAAACTGTGACTTCTTCAAGCTCTTGGATATTGAGAAATTGTGTTCCCAAAGGTGGAAAAACTTGGTCATCTTTTAGAGCCAGTTTTGAAATTAGACACCTCTTTCAAAACATGCAAAATTGCTGAATACAATTGAAATTTCACTCTTTCATCTTAAATACAATGGGATAATATGAAAAATTATTACTAGTTGTAAGATAGCCAAATGACTTCCCATTTTTGTTACCTGCATTAGATTCATGAAGAATTTTGGTCCTAATGAAGGGAGACTTAGTGTTTACATGGCAATAAGAATTTAATCTATAAATAAAATAGTATTTTGGATGGTTACCATATTCATGACTGGTTTTGAATTTTGATACTAATGTGTTTATATCACGTTAGACGTTTGCTATCTAACCTGATCCTCAGTTTATCTTCAGTCGCTGACAGTTTATTCCATAAAATATGAGGAGTTTGAAAATTATATTTTTCCAGTACATATATAAACATAATTTTTACCACAGAAAGAATGCAGCTACTTTGGTTTTGAGCTTAAATATGTTGAGTATGAAGTTATTGTAATGTATTTGAGTGTCTTATTTAAGTTGCAATGGAGTTCCCAGGTAAATTAAAAAACAGAATTTTACATTGTGTCATCACAACTTTGGCATCTTGGTTTTTGTATCCCATGTACATCTAAACTTGTAGTTTAATAAAACGTTGTTTTAAAATAACAGTGGTTATGTATACTCTGTTATATGTTGGTACTAACAAATGTACCTTAGTTGTAACTCTTCTGAATAGTCTTTGTCATAGGTAACTTACACATTCATATGTAAAAACCAAATTCCCAAACTATGAGTATTCATATGTAACTAAGTTTTATAATTTATACCATGTGCTGGTATAATTTTTGCTCACAATCTCTGCTGAAAATAGTTTTAGGCTACACAAAAGAAATTCCTTTCTACACTCACCCAGTACCAGAATTGTGTGAGCAAAAACATCTTAAATTCCTCCCATGTAACAACTGCTATGCATGGTGCATTAGTTTAAAGCATGATGTACAATTTTTAAATACACTAAAGGCCTCCAAAAGCATATGACATCCATAGCATCACAGAAATGAGACTGAATGCCAGAGAGAAATTTTGAATAAGTCACCACACTTAGAATTAATTTATTCAACTACACTTGTTCATTGTAATGTTACTAGCTAGAAAGAAAAATTATGAAAGTCAATGCAGTTAACCTGTGTTAAAATGCAGCAAATTAATTGCTAATAACGTAATATAATTATTTATAATAATATAAATATAATATATTATATTTAATGCCTCTAAGTGAATTCCAGTATAGAATTCGTTTTCTGAGTTTGTTTGTTTTATTTGAGTTGTGTCTGTGGAAGGGAGAAACATTGCATGTAGGTTAACTAACTTAACTTGATGGCTTACCAAACCCGAAGGTTCATCACCGAATTAACCAAAGCCCTCCACTGGACCCTGTCCTGGGCCAACAAAATCCATGAAGATTTCCGTCTTCTGGGTTGTTGCGCTGTGTAGTCTGGTCGATATTAATGCATCCGTCATCAGGGCGATGAAACGTTGGTTAATATCGACCAGACTACACAGCGCACCAACCCAGAAGACGGAAATCTTCATACTCACCGCTGTGAGAACCTCAAGTCTTACAACAAAATCCAGTTTCCTTCAACTTTTATCTCCCAAAGATCCCACCTGACGTTATCCTCCCATCTACGTCTAGGTCTTCCCAGAGGTCTCTTCCCCTCAGGCTTCCCAACCAGTACCCGGTGCACACCTCTTGTCCCATCCATGCGCGCTACATGCCCTTCCCATCTCATTCTTCTTAACTTAATCACCCTGACAATATTGGGGGAGGAGTACAAAATTTTAAGCTCATCATTATGCAGTTTGCATGTCGGTTAAACAGAATGTAACGTTTTTACTGACTGAACAACGTTACCATCACTCCGTCACCTTGTGATTTTTATAATGGAAAATAGATGGCCAAACAGGCGTATACAAGGAATGTAAATTGTATCATCTGTGATTGGATCAGTATTTGATGGGTGATGAAGAAGGAAGGCTGCAATGGTGTGTGTTAAGAATAGTAGTTCATGTCGAATGATAGTGTCATGTATTATACTGTATTGTTTTATTTTATTAACGAATGCGAATGAATTTGTAAGAAAGGTATGATTTATTTTAAATTGTAATGCATGTGTCATCATTTACTTGAAATTTCTGTTGGTGTATATAATGTATGGGAATTCGCTGGAAGATCACTCGCCTTAGATTTTCGGACCAACAAAATACATTTAAAGTCATATTTAAGTGTGGTAAATGTAGGTCTGTTGCGATACGTTTTTCGTTTGCCGGTTACGTTTTTGTAAAAAAAACATTTATTTTTGCTGACGTTTATAGCTCGTTTGCTGTACACTGCGTTATGAGATAAAAGGTGATTCAGGCATTCCCAGCTTTACTGCCAACGTTTGGGGATCATACCGTCTAAATCTTTGTCAAAAGAGAATCAGTCATGAGTAAAAGGTGCAATATTGTTGATATTCATGTCACCATATAGTTGTATGAAAATGTGCAAGTAGAAAGAAAATGATCCCTATGGGCCTGAAAACTCTCAAAGAACTGATTGGTAAAATTTTATATTTCTTGAGGGAGGTCGTCATTGGACGTTGTAAGAAAATAACAGTGCAGTGAATGATTTAAGCATACCTTTTTTGACAATGTTCTGACCACAAATCTAATTTCATAATCATAGCTTTCACTTTATGTTTAACTTAAAGGGGGTTACAGCTCTCATTTCATCTTTCAGATAGTACTTGTGTTCAGATGTCTTTTGTAGTAACAAGATCTTGTATTTTCAGCTGAGTATGTTTCATAATCCAGGATGTGAACACCCAATAAATTGCAGCTCTTTTAAAGTAGGATATGTGAAAGCTGAAGGGCCAAATGACACCTTGCATTACTTGTGGGACTTCACACAAAAGCCATCAATTCTCGTGGCGGCAGCACCTGCAGGATCAAATTTGACCATTTCTTGGAGTCAGTTTAAAGCGGGAAATAACAAGTCCATAATGTTTAGTGAAGAGCCTGTATACAGTTTTGGTATTGTATTGGACAGGGTAAGCATAAGTTATGTTTCTTTAAAACAGTGAGGTCTCTTAGCACATTATTATGTTCTACACATGTTGGTGCATCCGATCATCATTGCAGTAATGCATACTGCTAGTAGTTTTCATTATCAGCAGTAAATGCCCTTTATTTTATGGATTGCTCTCATCTAGTATCATGGATTCATGGTTAAGTTTCAGAGGTTAAAGCATCATTCAGTGTGAACAATCACTCTTTATTGATGATGTAAAAACTGTATTGTTTATAAATTCTAAAAGTCTATACACAGACATGTTTCTGCACAGCATAGCATATAGTGACACTACTAGGTGACCTTACTTTGGAACATAGTTCAGTTATGTGCAATAAAATGTTGCCACAGCAGGAAAAACTGTAGGTCTATGTAATTAAATGATAAATTAAGTTTGTCATATTAATTCAACTTATGTTGTTTAAGTGTGTTACATTGAAGGTACAAGGTTGCTGAACTAAAGCTTGAAATTTAAAATAAAGGATCGATCATCTACTACCAAGAATAAGACTTGTTCATTTTGAATCAGCAGCTAACTGCCATTTCTGAAGTGTGTTTTTCATTGTGACTAGAAGACCTGGCTTGAGTAAATCTTGTAGCGCACTAGTTACCCCATTTGATTGTGACTAAGCATCTGAGTACATGTGTTGTATAACATTTTGGACATTTTTTTAACAAGGTAATCACACTACAGAGAGCTTGTATGTGATTTTTTCATTATATATATAAAATATTAATATAATTTCCTTTCATATGAATTTCTGTAAATGTTTCATGATATCTTGCAGACTTCCCATTAACAACTGTGCTTGCTGTAAGTAAGCTTGGTATTCTGTGACATACAACATGGTTGATCTAACATACCAACTCATTGCCCAATGAAAGTTTTACCTTTTCCTTCAATTTTGAAAATGTTGCTGTTCACTGAATATAAGGTCTGTCTCATCAGTTACAAACAGTTCAAAACTTTTTAGAATGTAATGTATATAAATATTTTATTTTAGATCTGGGAGTACAATGACGTAAATGACAGCGGTTTAATGGACCGTAAAAATAAAAACAGCAGTTATGTCAGAGCACTTGACATGGAGAACTTTAACTGGACCCTGTCAGATTTCGCAAATGAGAGTATGGACACTGTTGACCTTAAGGTTGAGTCGTCTTCATTCACTTCAAAGAATTCAAATGCTCTCATCAGTGGAAGCATCAGATTTGTGGTATATTGCATTATGTTAATATAAGTAAAATGCTTGACGATTCTCCAAGTGTTTTTAACATTCATTCATTCGTTATACTACAGTTATGTTTGTCATTATCCATTCCCCACTTGATATTTGAGAGTTTTCTTTGGGAAATTAAATGAGCTATATCATCTATCGCATGCATTGCTCAGAATAACAACATCTTGATTATTTTCTTTTAGCTTAGGCTAGCTAGACATTCCAATTTTTTTTTAAATAAAGTGATATTTTTCTGGCAATCAGAATATTTGTCTGGCTACCAGACCTTCAAAAATACTCTAAGCCCTCAACGAAAGAAAACATTGCATGTATATATTTGCTGAATTGCTGCGTATGAGAATATTCACACACGTGCATGCATGTACCAGTTTAACCCTAATGCTGTGGCCGTGAACTAGTAAAAAGTCCATGCGTTACTGTTTTCTGTGAAATTCATCTTTAGTGCACATCAAAGAATATTCTCTTTTTGCTGCATAATTCATCTTTATTCTGTGATGTATAAAAATGCATTCTTATTGTTTTTCCTGGTGCTGCCATCTAGTTTAATGAATTTGTATGTAAATGTCACCATGCAAGTGACTCATGCTATCTTTTACAAGGTTAGTCTTGAGTGAAATCAACACAATCAACTTTACCTTCTTTGACGTCGGTGACATTTGGTGTATGTGCTGCCACATATCAGAAATAAGTGTATACAAAATTTTTGGTGTGTGTTTGACATATTTTAGAAGCTATTGCTGTCTCAAATTTTGAAATAACATTTTACTCATGGATTATCACAAATTTTATCATATATTTGGTTCTACCAGACGTACATAGCTGAACTTCACCACATTTTAAAGCTCATAAAATAAATTTTAAAATGATCTATCATACCACTGCATTAGCACAAAAAAGAAAACTGTTCCTGGTCATTAAAGGTACTCTGAGCTTGAATTTTTCAGAAATCTAAAATTTCAAAACTTTGACAAAATTGTGCGTCATAGTTGAGTACTTGCTTAATATACATTAAATTTGCAGATGGAACTGTTAATATGTTGAGAACTTCAAAGCTATACTTCTTGGCCTCTTTTCGCAGAATTTCAAAAATTCAACATTTACGTTTGGATACACTGCGAAATAATGAGTATGCTTCATTCAAGTTGCATGGAAGTAACGATTTTTGTTTGTGAACTATTTTTCCATGTTTTTTCAGATGCAAAATCTTTTTTTCAGTGGCACATATCTGCTAATTTTGTCATCATAAAATTCAGGAACAGGCTTCATGGTATGATCTTTCAGCATCTTATCCGGTTTAGGGTTTGGAGTAGATAGTATTCCTGTAGCTTCTGTAAGTTCTTTAGCTTAGGAAATCAAGTAAATTATTAAATCTAAAACTTCTTGACGATGGTGAAGAGTCAATTGAATAAAAATTTCCTTGGATATTATCCATCGTCTAGTAAATATAAAACGTAAAACGACGTTTCGGAGATGGGACTCTATCTCCGTCTTCAGGTTCCTACGCAGTTGGGCCCACTAGATAGAGCTAATCCCTATCTCCGGACTTTCACTTTTTTACTTTGTTGTTTTTCCAGAACAACTTGGATTGTGACCTCTCATTCTACAATTCTGTGTAATCAACAAAGTTCACTGAATGTTGTTAAGTAAGCCAAGAACTAACCAGCTGCATGTTTAATGCATAATCAGAAGAGGCTAGCTGGAATAGCTGTCAGTAAAGTCGTAGTGAACCTTTGGTTTCCCTAAAGTGTAGGAAATATCTTGAATATCTCTGCTTCCTGCAGTTACATTGATTGACTATATGACTTTATCTTTACAGCTGAGTGCGTTTAGCTTTCGTGATCATTTTGGAGAACTTCCTCACCTCTTGCATTCAGCAAACAGCACTCAGGTTGACCTGGTGCTTGACAAGCTGAAAACAAACTCCAGTTTCTCAAATTCTCGATTTGCTCTGGAGGTTCTAATTGCAAGCAGTGACAAGGTTAATAGTACAGCTTCCATTGTGTCACAAAAAAGCTTGGATGATGAATACAGCCCTGGAGTTTTTACGGTAAGAACCCTTTTAGTTAATTGCAAGGTGTGATGTTGAAGCAGAATTTGTAGGTGTGGGTACAGGTACCTTGGTTTCTCTGTTGTATGTTGGACCCATACACAACAATGATTTGGAACACTTATTATATTTAATTTGTTAATGTCTTTGCTCTTGCTGAATGAATTTTCATGAAATGAAATGTTATACTTTTTTAACTTGCATATTTATTTCTTCAGGTACTTTAGTTTCCAGTGCCATAACTTTAATTGTGAAGTTATGTAAAATCAGTGTAATTTAGATAATTTACAGAGCTCGAACTGTCAATCAGTCGTGTTACATTGGCATACTGATTAACTGGGAAACAGGATGAGAAACCGTTCACGCTTAGAACCATTTTCTTAGCGTTCAGGGTGCCCTCCTTGCCATATTTATATGGAGGTTGACAGAGCTGAAGAATTTGAGTGTGTCTGTCAGTAGTAGTACATCCATGTGGCTGGCAGTTGAAATTAAGTACTGCCATTTGTAAACTTGAAGGTGACTGACTGTGCTCTGAAATGGTAGGAATTATTCTTTATGTTAGTAGAGGAGAAATGAATAGGGTTCACAAAACTCCGGTGGTGAGTGAATGTGAACGTGGTCAGTTGTGCTATAGATATGTTTGTTGCTGGAAGAAGTATGACAACATATTTTCTGTGGTTTTGTAAAGTAATGAGTGTTAACTTTGTTCATAATTCATTCATCTTTGAGGTGTATGACTTAAAATGTAACAAAGGAATGATGATAATAATTTTGTATAATAAATATTACATTTCCATGTAGCAATTAGTGTATGAAATAAGATGGGGCATTCCAGAAAAAATAGTTTCTTGGGTGCACCTTGCAGTTTGGAGTTAGTCATTGAGCGTTTATTGCAAGTTACAATTGCAATTGGTCGCAACTGAGTTACAAATGCAACCAAATCATTTTATAGCTTCCAGTGATATAATGCAAGTTCTAAATTAATATTTAAGCTCTCAGTAACCACATGGCATTATTTCAATTTCAAATCCTGGCAACCGACCTACATCAAATAAGCCAGTTGTCTGACACAGGTCAGTCACTGTTTAAGCACTGAAACTGAAACATAAGTTCTGTGAATGTCAAATACCATTTAATATTAACAATAATTGTCACCAGATAACATCAGTACATTGTGTAATTTGTGGAACCAAGTGTGTCAGCTTTTCTGTACACCATCTGTGCAATGATTGAAGAACGGGTCATAGTTCATCGTCAGCGTACGTTGTTGAAGGAGCAGTGCCATGGCCACCTCCCAATATTGTCTTACTAACATGTTTGAAAACCAACCCACCAGCAAAGAAGGTTCCCCCAGTATCCACTGATATACAGGAACTCATACAACACCTGACTCCTACCCTCACATATCTAATCCAGTGCCCATCCATCATCTTTAGCCTCTAGCCAAGTTCAAGGTAACGTAAAAGCAACATCCCTTTCGTCACCCACTTACTTCAGCCTGGTCAGAGCTGTTGTGGGAGGGGGGTAGGAAGAAAAGAATACATCTGTACTTTAAATATAATGTTTTCTACTTTCTTCGGCTATCTACATTTTTACGCACTGTGGCTTGGCAGTCTTAGTGGGTATTTCAGATAATGGGTTGGCATGAAGAGGGTTAAGAACCAGACGAGCATTTCCAAGTATGAAGATGGCTGTCTTCTGGGTTAAAATGCTGCGTAGTCTGGTAGACGTTTGCCAACATTTCGGAGGTGACGCTGCAGCCCGGAAGACAGCCATCTTTATACTCGCCACTGTGGTCAGGGTAATTTTGTTCACTTCTGTGTCCTTTTGTGTGGATGTTCAGCTCATATATTTGCTGTTCCTCTATTATATCAAAGCCTGATTTTTGTATATGAGATATGAAATTCAAATGTATGAAATGAAAAGTAATTTGTTGAAAATATCAAAATGTTGTTAATGTATTCTTCCCTTTCAGTTGGTCCATCTTCAGACTCCAATGGCTGAGTTAGGGAAGGGTGGGTATTTGCAGTGGAGACCAGTGGCTTATGTTGCCAAGGAACGGGATATCTCATATTCCACTGAAACAAGCTCATATGGAGTGACAAATGTTAAGAATCGTAACGCACGTCTGAACCACACGCTTCTTTATGCCTACTACTGCTCTCATTTGGATAACCTCCTTGTGCAGTCAACCATAGTATCATTTGGTCTTAAAGAAGATGGCTTCTATAAGAAAACAAATTATACTTCATGGTAAGTATTACTCTGAATATTTGGCTACTCTCATAATTTATATTTTCTGATACTACATACATAAATTCGAGAAAGAATACTGCCTTATGAACTTTGCTGGCACATGGGGAAAAGTATCAAAAAATTTGTCAGCTGTGAAGCTGTGAATAATGAATCTCTGGGTTAATGTAAAGATATGGATTTCCTTAATGAGCCAAATATCTATAAACTTTTCAAGGAAGACCGTCTATGTTGGAGTTTTTTGATAGGTGCTCTCCAGTAACCATAAAACTTTCACAGTTGCCATATTTACCTTTGTTTCTATACTAAAAAATTAAAACATTACAGGACATTTGTGGTGGGTTATGGGACACCTCCTAATGAAGACTTCTCACTTCTCGTAATATTCGTCATCAGCATCGGTCTAGGCTTGCCTGCATTGCTGATTATCATCAGCGGAATAGTCGTGGCTGTACGAAGGATCTCTCAGAAGAAGGACGACCTCTTCCTAAACAGATAATTGTTGTGTTATATTTAGTTATCTTGCCAGTCTCCTGTGTGTTTTGATATACTCACTGTTGAACATTCCAGGATTAATTTCCAGGCTGAGGTGCAATATTTGATATACCTAGTCATAAAGTATGCAGCGGGAATTGTTTCCGTATGTGGCAAGAAAGAAGTACATGAAAGGAAATGCGAAAGGCATCATAAATGAAGGTATTTGCTTAAAACTGAAATAAGCATTTCGCTCCTTTAAATACTCATGCAGAATTTAAAAAAAAAACAGTACAGTGGATAGACAATGCGGTCACAGCATAATTCACTGCATATTAGGATTTGTTTCTGCTTTTGACGTTATAACCATGGGAGTGCACAGTATTTTTAGTTGTGTTGTAGAGATCAAAGACCAGGTGTCTCATGTATGTCCATATTTGTGATTACAGCTTATTATTTTAAAAATGTTGTTTCCCCCTACTGAAAGTTATGTGCTGCAATATATGTGTTATCTACAGATACTGGTACAAGTTGCATTTAATTTGTAAGCATGTTATTATAAGGGATGAGTTTCCTAAAGGAAAGAAACAAACCAAACTGGAAACGGTACTGGATTAGCTGAAACAAGTCTTCTCCGTGAAGTGACACATTCATCTACTGCTGCCAAAATTCTGATTGATCTAAGTAGGTAAGTTAGACTGCGTGATGTTGTTCATATTCCATTTCAGAATGTTATAGATAATGACCTTGCTGGAAATCAGCCCTGATGATACCATTTATATTGCAGATTTTGATTAGGGAATTAAATGTGTGGAAAATACATATGCATTTACCTTATGTTTTAGCACAAATAAGAGAATAAATGTGTGTTGAGTATTTTAAGTAGTTTTAGGGACAATACATTGTGTAATGTTTGATTTTGTCTCAAGAGTATGTGGTCCACTGGCACATGTGAAGCAGTGCACAGACCCATGCATTGTCCAATAAGAAAGGCGTAAACTATGTGTTCAAAGTGCGTTCTGAAAGATGAATCATCATCTCACGGTGTTACTAGTCAAACTGTGTCAGATATGGCAGTCTGTAGATAACACTGGTAATGACCAAGCATGGATGTGAGAAATGTTGTAGGACTAAGGCTTTTGTTCACAATATTTAGTATGTGATTCATGTTCTTTGTTTTTATATTTGTCCATAAGTTTCCTGTTGGAAAATTAGGTCTCAGGATTGATAAGGCCTCTCATACTAGTGCAGTTAGTTAGTGAAGTGTGGTTTATTTTCAAGTCATGATTTCATTACATTCTCTTGATTTGATTTGGGGCATTAACAGAATATCTTAATTTTAATTTCCCGTTTTATGTACCATAAATAAGCTACCTTGTTCTGTCCTTTCTGTATATGCAACTGTTAATTTTGGCATTTTATTAGTTCCTCTGATTGTAAGAAGTAGAATATGTCATGTCTCAGTCTGCATGGTTTATTTCCCATATTAATTGCAAATTTTACACAAAGCTCATCTGTACAATTATATAGAGTGTACACTTTTCATGCACATTCAGCAGAAGTAATTATAAATGTCATGACACATTAATTCTGTTGAAGTTATTTATAAAAGAACTAAAACGAATGTGACAAAGGGAAGTGATTAGTTCTGGGGTGCCTTATTTTATAAAATGGATGGATCCTAGTGCAAAATATATGTAGAAAATTACTTCTGATGCACTAGTTTGGCCTTCAGTAGATTAAGATTACCTATATATAAACATGTATGTATAATTGTAAAATACATGCAACTAAGTGCATAGATTTTGATAATAAATAAAAAAACATTGCCCTTATAGCAGTAAAATATTTCCTTGTGATGCCAAGGTTGGGTGATATTTCTTTTTTCAGTTCATTGTAGATAATAATTGTGGTGGTACATTGGTTATAAACTTGGCAACTCATAAAGTGTATGTTATAAATGAGTGTATAACGTTTGTGATAACTGATCTAAGCTTCATAATCATGCTTCCACGTCAGTTACGTCAAGTGGCATCAGCTACTGTATTTTCATTTGTAGTTCATATGATGTAATCAGTGGATAATGCTGAAGTAATTCAGATTTAGGTTGAAGTCTCCAGCTTGAAAAAAGATAAGTCCAAGCAATATGCTCTTTAAAGTACATTCTGATGTTCATGGAGATAAAGTCAGTAACTAACTAACCAACCAACCAGATGGCTTACCAAACTCGAAGGTTCATCACCGAATTAACCAAAGTCCTCCACCGGACCCTGTCCTGGGCCAACAAAATCCAGTCTCCTTCAACTCCTATCTCCCGCAGATCCCGCCTGAGATTATCCTCCCATCTACGTCTAGGTCTCTCAAGAGGTCTCTTCCCTTCAGGCTTCCCAAATAGTGGACCCAACCAACCAGATGGCTTAGCGAACACAAAGGTTCATCACCGCATTAACCAAAGCCCTCCACCGGACCCTGTCCTGGGCCAACAAAATCCAGTCTCCTTCAACTCCTATCTCCCGCAGATCCCGCCTGAGATTATCCTCTCATCTACGTCTAGGTCTCCCTAGCGGTCTCTTCCCCTCAGGCTTCCCAACCAATACCCGGTGCACACCTCTTGTCCCATCCACGCGCACTACATGCCCCGCCCATCTCATTCTTCTCGACTTAATCACCCAGACAATACTGGGGGAGGAGTACAAATTTTTAAGTTCATCATTATGCAGTTTTCTGCATTCCCCACACTGGAATTTTCTCTTCAATGTTTCTTGCTCATGTTGATGTTCTGTTTTCTGAGATGCTCTGGTTTTTACATTCTCCATTTTTCAATTTCTCTCGCTGAATGTCATAAGTTTTGGAACCCATAGGAAGAAACAAGAATTTCTGTAGTGCCACAAAAACGAAATTCTGTAGAACTCGTTTAGTTTTGGTTGAATTGTAACAACTGCATGTTTGAAGTTAGGAATAAAAGTACGCTAACCAGAATCCCTTACCAACCTTTAACCTGCTTTAGTAGTCGGTAACTATGCATTTTGCCCACAGAGTATATTTATGGGTTTTCAGTAACTATACTTCCCTAAATAGCATTAACCAGCTAGTCTTCATATTTATAAGTCCATGTGTTTTCTCTGTAGTCGGGATTGAATTGTTACATTACTTTGATGCTGTTTGGCTTCAGAGGATTAGAACAGAAGGAGCTATTGTTTGAGTGATCACTGCCATTGTACCATCTGAAGATGTTATGTTCTACATTTTATTACTCGTGCATAGATAGAACTAAGCTGACATAAAATTTGTTCACTTTGAGATGATCCATGAAAGTAAAGCTCTTCACTAAACTGAATAATTATGACTAGTGAACTCCTTTAAAATTAACAAACATTATATTCACATGCAACCACTCACTGTTGGCTATTTATTCAAACTGGCAAGAAGCCAGAACTATATTGTATGACTTAAGCAATCAATTCTAAGGCTTCGGTGTTCACCATTATAGCGAACATTAAAAGATAATTGTAAATATACCAGATGTCCCATCTGACAGTGCACAGCTTTACACCATGGATTATATAAGTAAAAAAGTTCCTATAAACAAAATGTCTCTGACTGAGAGATACAAGTGATTATTGCTATTTTGCAAATAAAATTACTGAGATGCAAACATTTTCCAGAACATTTTTATTGCAGGAAGATTCATTACACTTGACAAAACACTACAAACATCATATTACTAACACTAGTTTTTCTGTTAGGACCCTCTGAGTTCTGACCAAACCTCATTGTACAAACATTGCTTACAGGAACTGTATTCACCCTGAACTCCTGAGATGACTTGTCTTCTGGAATGTTGCGCCATGCAGACAAATAGAATTTTACGGATGTTTCAGGGAGGTGCTTACTACCTTAGTCATCAGGGCAATGAGTAGTTGCATGCAAGGAAACAGTTTGAGATGAGGTAATTGGTCAGACAATGGCGAAAGGGTGAGGTGAGGACAGAGCAAAACAGCTAAAGGGAGAAGGGGTGGGGGAGAAATAGACTAGGAAAGAGCAAAATAAAGGAAATGCAGGATACAGAACTGAACAAGGGTCAAGCAGAGGCCTTCTTCCCTGTCCATGTTACGGTGCAACCCAATATCAGTGGCCTCCCTGACACCTGGTCCATGTATATAGTTTACTATACTATCGGCATGAAAACCTCAAATCCTACACAGAAAAACAATTGTTTAGCGAACGGTTTACTGCTCTGTGGACTGCAAATTGTTATCTCTGTAACGTTGGTGAACCTAGCACATCCCGTGACGCCATACATTTCGCGCGTAAATTCAGCTGATTACTGTTTTCTGATATTGAATAAGTTGCTGTACTGTGCTACTTTAAAGAGTGAGAACGTATAATATTCACAATTTGTACTTCACGTTGGTAAGTTTCTTTATGTACGTGTAGGCCTTTAATTTTGTTGCAGGGTTGTGAGAAAGAAAGAAGTTGATCTTTTAAACCAAATTAACGAAAGTTACGTGATAAAATTTGTCGAGGCTGGAATGTTTCTAGCGCAGACCACCCAAGCTGAGTCCGATTTATTTAATCTGCTGGTGATAAGAAATTATAATTACTTGTTGGACGTAAATTTGATCACTATTGGAGTTCAGATATTTAATGACAGAATAACTACCAGTATTTATCTCGAATTAGAATAGAGGAATTGGGAAGGGTGGGAAAGGAAGCGGTCGTTGCTTTCGATGTCGTATACCGACTGAGGGCAACTGCGACGTCTGTGTCGGCCGGGATTTGAATAGGATGCATCGTAATGATGAGCCAGGCTTGTTAGCATTTAGTCATTTAGCTTGATCAAATGGTATGATGAAGCATATCTTTTCTGATTTATTATTATTATTAAGTGTTCTGTCTTATGACAGGTCCATTGCTCTGCTCAAAAAGAGCTCTCCAGTTGTCCCTATTCTCGGCTTCTCGCTTTAATTCCTGGAACGTCATCTTCTTTCCTTGTTTAAGGTCGTCAGTTAGCTGTATCAATCTTCTTCCTAGTCCTCTCTTTCCTTCAACCTGGCCTTCGATGATATCACTCATTAATCCATTCCTTCTCATAATATGTCCCAGCCAGTTAGCTTTCCTTCGTGTAATCGCCTGCAGAATGTTTCTTTGCTCGTTGACTCTCCTCAATACTTCTTCGTTGGTCACTCGATCCGTCCACCTGATCTTCTCTATTCTTCTCCAACACCACATTTCGAAACTCTCCAGGTATTTCTGTTCCTTCTTCCTGAGTGTCCAAGTCTCTGCTCCATACAGCGCGACACTTCATACGCATTACTTCACTAGTTCCTTCTTCATCTCCAAGCCCAACTTGCTAGTGAGAAGTATCCTCTTCTTGACGAAAGCTGCCTTGGCCATGGCTATCCTTGCTTTTACTTCCTTGGTGCATAGGGCGTCCGTCGTGATTATGCTTCCCAAGTACTTGAAATTCTCCACATTCTCCAGCCGTTGGTTTCCAACTACAACGTTCAATGGTTCTGCTCTCGGTGCCATCCTCATTACCTTTGATTTTTCAATGTTGATTTCCATTCCATACTCTCTACCTGTTACCACTAACTTGTCCATCATGTTCTGTAATTCCTCATCTTCCTTCGCCAATACTACCAAGTCGTCTGCATACTTTACAGTCATTATGATCCTCCAATTTTGAAGTCTCCACAGCTTCCTTGGCAAGCCAATCCCCGTACAGGTTAAAAATAATTGGTGATAAGCAGCATCCCTGTCTTACACCTCTATCTATCTCAACGCTGTTGGTGTCTCCTGAGTCCAGTCTCACTTTGACTTTTTGCTGCATGTACAGGTTTTTGATTTACAGAAATAAATACAGGTTATTTACCTTTGTAAAGCTAAACGTATTGCTTGTTCTCGAGGTGACCGTGATTGTAGAATAGTGGAAAGTAAACACTCACAGTGTCTTAATAATGTTTTGTAATTACTGGAAATAATCTCTTCAGACTGACAAATACATTGATTCATCCAACAGAGGTAAGCAGGATGTAGGACAAGTCAGAGTATATTACATCACATTCATAGAATACCTAGAAATGCATTACTCTTACAGAAACATACCTCAAGAAGAAAATAGGCTACAGTAGATAATTACATTAAATTATTAATACCATATCAGTTAAATCATATATTTTGAAATTTCTAAAATTACACTGTACTCAAAGTTTGTTCACTACCTAGGTATGTACCAAATAAATAAATATTTACATGTGGTTTATTTCCCATATGCTTAATGTAGAAATACGTACAGCCAAACATCGTTAGAGTGTTGCACTTTGTCCGACAATATTAGCATTGAAATGGGGGTGGCGGTAAATTGAAACTGTTCTTTCTCCTCCATCCCAGAATATCTCCAAAACAATGCCGACTGATGGGTTTACCCCATTGGTTCCCTCTGGAAAATTGTTTTTTGTAAGGCACCACCAGCACTTATCTATCATTGTGCTTTTGCCCAGGTAATAAGGTCATGATTATATAGTGTGCACTTGTATTTTTGTAGCACATAACTTTCTTACTGCGACTGGTCTGGCAATTTTATTCAAACTAAGGTGAGTAAGTATTATGGGATGTTGTTCCATGTAATCTTGTTGAAGTTACCTACATTTCAGAGGTGCAACATGTTCATACTTGCTGCCATGAGAACCTGAAATTTTACAAAAGTAGTCATGTTATCGTTATTGTGTATTGCGTTTACTTGTAGTTGCATTCAGATGCATTTTGATTCAACAAGAGTGTCATAGAGATATCGAATAAATAATAGCATTCATCATGGCCTCTCTTGTAACTGAATTGGCCTTTTAAGGAAATGTTTGCTGCATTTATGTCACTGGACACACTTACACTTAAAGAATTGAATGAATGGTAATGTTAGTTTAATAATTCTTAGATCTTTGTTTCAGGTCTTTATCATCACACATGGCAACAGTCCAGACAAGGCTTAACTTTAATGTTAGGAAGAAAAGACTGAATAGTTCTAAGTTAAACATTGGAAAAGAAAATGCAGATTTTGGGAACAAGAGATCCTCAGCAGTGAGTGCTTGTGTTGAACAAGGGAGGAAGTTTTGTAAAAGTAAAGATCAATCCAAATGTGAGGAATCATTATCAAGATCACATTTGTTGTCTGTTGATGACAGTGACAACAATTTAGATACAGAATGTGTTCTGAGTAAACAACATGGGAACAAAGCTGATGGAAGTTTTGCTTCTCAGTGCACAAAAAGATTACACATTGGAAATGGTGATAAACCCATAGGTTTGTTCATTTAATTTTACTGTAGTTTGTGGGTACCCACATTATCATATTTTTAATTGATGGTTAAGTGTCTAAAAAAATGAATGCCTTAATGTCAGCTAGAGTTAAATTTCATTAAAGTCAACTGCATTGGATTTCAATTTATTTGTAAAACTAATTTAATCTGTATGTAGAAAACTTACAAGAGGTTTGTAAATTGTGTATATACATTTACCATGTGCATCTGCATGGTACTGTTGGGCTTTTCAGGCTCATTTTACCAGTTTCCTTGGCCATGTCCACTCTTCTACCTCTACATACACGTATAACTGTGGTATTTCGTATTATGGAAATTTATGATACGTTGAAATTTACCAACAAAATGTTAACAGTTAAGGTTTGTTGGGACAACATTACATGGAGGCCAGTATACATTTTATTATAGTAAATGCATGGAGTAGAGCCCTTGAAGAACTGAAACTCAATCTGCTAGTCAGATTTTGTAACTGAAATTTTATATGCGTTTCTTATTTCCCCAATGTGTTTATGTGCCCCACCCGTCTCATGTCCCTTGATTTTATCGCTGTAATAATATTAGTGAAGAGTGCTACAAACTCTGGAGCTTATTTTGTGTTGAAGATTTGAAGATCCCACAATTGCAGGCTGATGCCATCAATTCTGGAAGAGGGGGGGGGGGCATTTCATTGCGGCCACCTCATGCTTTTAAAAAATCACAACATGCATCTGACAGAAATGACTCAGATGTTTAAGATTTATCCTGTAAAAGTGCTGGTCCCCTTGTTTGATAACTTTCAGACTAAATTGTACCAAAAAGGATGAAAACACCAGTCCTTTTTATAAACAGGTGGCTCTGGATGAAATCATTGGTAAGGCAAGGAATACATTGCAAGTGAAGAATGAGCTGCTGTTTTTGAGATATAAATGCACTTTTCATTCTACATAAATATTTTATCCCACTCTGACCAGCAGGTGACAGAACATTTTGTTTAGACTGACTTTTCATTTGAGGTAATTCTGATGATTAGCTTGAAATGATGTTCTCAGAACCAAAGTGGCGTAAACTCAAGTATAAGTCTGCGTGGGTTAGGCCACTTTTTCTTCATGGATTACCAGTCATTCAAATCAGAGCTTCAGTGTCGAAGGGTGTTTATCAGTGCACCAACAAAGAATTGTAAGACCAGATGCAAGAGCTTGCATTATTGGCATAACTTGACTAGTTGTGTTCTAGCTGTGAGTGTAAGAAGGTGGCCTGATTGTAATACAGCATAAGTTGCGTCATTCTGAGGCTGTGGTACAATGTGTTAAAGAATTTCTCCACTCCAACTCATCTATTTTCTAGTATTTCAAAAAATAAAGAAAAATGTAGGAACAAAATGAAAAATGTCTGATTATTTTGGGATATTGGTATGGGGAAAACTGATTCATCCTCAAAAGTATATATACACTTTATTTGAATGCTTTAGGTTAAAAATTTCAATGAATATCCTGCAATTTATTGTTGAGTATATAAATGCCAATTTAATTAGGCTACGAGGTGCGGGGAATTTTAAATTTCTGTGTTTTAAAGGTTAGTACATTATTTCCGAGCCGGGATAGCTCAGTCAATATAGTGACTAGCTACGGGCTGGACAGCCGGTGTTTGATCCCCGACGGGGGTAGAGGATTTTTCCTCTAGCCTCTGGGGCCCACCCAGCCTCCTCTACAATGGGTACCGGGGGTCCTTTCCTGGGGGTAAAGCCGGCCGGGGCGTGATGCTGGCCACTCACCCCAAGCGCCTGAATGGGACGTAGCGGGACAAACTTTACTTACGTTATTTCCGATGTGTTTTCCACTTCATGATGGCAGCAACTGACTTCATATTTATTCTTAATTTTAAAGGTGTCCTCTTACGTGATTTAACATTTGATATTTTGTGCATTATTCCTCAGTGCTTTGTTAATTATAAAACTGTATGTAGGTATGTGAAATTTGAGTCACGTTTTTCTTAGCATTTGTCTTTGATTATTAATTTTAATTTCAGATGAATTGGAGAATGTCTCATCTCCTCCAAAACGTGGTAAGATATTAAATGAAGATTGTGATGATGTAGGAGTTAGTGCTCCGTCACAGCACACACCATCTCAGCTTATAACACGCCTACATTTAAATA